TGCAATTTATCAAAAATTTAAGTGGCTTATGCTTTTTGTGTCCTGTCTCAAACAACTTCTGCTTACTCCAAGATTACAGATGTATTATGTTTCTGAAACAAGCTATTTAGAAAACCAAGCGTGTTCCTCTGCCTGCCCCGATGGTCATCTCTGTACTCTGCCATGCACACCACGAGCTCCACTGCTAGGTAATCCAGGAGAAATAAAGGCATTCCCACAAAGTCCCGCACACGTCTGCCCCCACCGCAGCCATTCTTTTTTTTTTTTTTTTTTTTTTGACGGTCGTGGGACTTGAACTCTGGGCCTGGGCGCTGTCCCTCAGCTCTTCAGCTCAAGGCGAGCGCTCTACCACTTGAGCTACAGCGCCACTTCCGGTTTTCTGGTGGTTTATTGGAGATAGGAGTCTCATGGTCTCTCCTGCCCGGGCTGGCTTTGAACCGCGATCCTCAGATCTCAGCCTCCTGAGTAGCTAGGATTACAGGCGTGAGCCACCAGCGCCCGGCACCACAGCCATTCTTTATGGACAAAGCCCCACACAGAAGCAGCACACAGATTCCCCCTGGTTGTTGTAAACAAGTCAGCAGAGCTCCCTGCGGCAGGATACATTCCTCAGCATAGAATACTGATTCAGATAGCAACATGGGCAAAGCCGTGGTACAAGGACAAAACTTATATCAGCCAGCAGTGCTTTTTTTAAAAAAGCTGGTGTGGGTAGCTCACATCGTAGATACTCAGGAGGCAAAGATCTAAAGATCAGGATTCAAAGCCAACCTGGATAGAAAAGCCCATGAGACTCTTCTCTCCAATTAACCTTCAAAAAAAACTTTTAAGTGGGGGCTGGGAAGGTGGCTCAGTGGTAGAGTACTTGTCTTGCATGCATGAGGCCCTGGGTTCAATTCCTTAGCACCACATAAGCAGAAAAAAGCTGAAGTGGTGCTGTGTCTCAAGTGGTAGAGTGATAGCCTTGAGCTGAAGAGCTGAGAGACAGCGCCCAGGCCCAGAGTCCAGGCCCCACAACTGACCAAAAAAAAAAAAAAAAGCTTTAAGTGGAGCTGTGGCTCAAGCACTACCCTTGAGGAAAAACGCTTAGGGACAGCCAGTGTCCATGCCCTGAGTTCAACCTCAGAACTGGCAAAAAAAAAACCCCAAAAACAAACAAAAAAACAGGCTTACACATGTAACTTCAGCTCCTCCAGAGACAGGTTCAAAGCTAGCCTAGGTAAAAAGTTCATGGGAGCTCCTTCTCAACCAATGAGAAGCTGTGAGGATGGCTGTAGACTGTCATACCAGCTATGCACAGAAAATGTAAACAGGAGCATTGCTGCCCAGCCCAGGCATAAATAAGTGCTAGACTCTGTCTCAAAATAAACTAAAGCAAAAAGGATGGGAGGTGTGACTCAAGTGGCTGGGCACAGACAAGTGTAAAGCCCTGAATTCAAACTCCAGTACAACTGAAATACTATAAAAACAACCAAAAAGTTGTAGTCATACTTTTTTCCCCTTAGAGTTGTCAGAATCTGCTGTTTATTTCCTCAACCTTGTCTTCAGTCCTTGATATGGTTTCTTCTGCCTAATCTGGCCTATTGGTGGTGCTTTGTGTTGAGATTTTCATTTCATGTCCATTGTGTTTTTCTCTGATTCTCTATTTCCTTGCTGAATTCCTTATCCATGTTACTGACTTCACTATCCAGAACTTGAGTTAACTTCTTTACTTCATTTATGTGAAGTCATTGGGTCATTGATCATTTTGTAAACTAGACTTTTGAGTTCTTTGTCATTTCAGTATTTTTGAATTTTGATTGAGGGATTATGAGCTTCTGAGGGAGTCATAATGTCATGTTTCTATATTGTTTTCTGCATTGCGATTTGCACACCACCCTGCAGCTCCTGCTGCTCCATCTCTCTGAGCAGCCAGGCCCTCCCCCACCTCCCGCCTCCCCCTCTGCCGTATGCTGAGAACACACCAGGCTTCTCTCCCGCTGCTGTCCTGTCTGGAAAGCTCTTCCTCCCCAGCTTGCTCTCTCCCACGGCTGGCTCTGAAATGCAGCTGCTCTGCCTTCTTACTCCTTCATCTTGTTAACCTGATGGTCTATAATTTTCCACTGGAGTATAAGGTAGGCACTGTCTCTTGTTGCTGTGTCTGCACAGTTGTGGACACTAGTTGAGTACTTGCTGACTGAGTGGTGGTTTGAGCAGCAGGGTGTAAGCTTTGATACAGTGTATCAAAGAGCATGAGCTCGGTCCATTACTATCGCTGCCTTCCCTTAGTGGAGACGGTATTTGTGAATGAATATCACTTCTTGCCAGGAAGAAGTGTTCAGTGCCAGTACCGAAGAACGTTGTTCACATCAACAAGACTAGTAGGGAAGGTGTTTTGTTATAGGTATGTCTCGTCTTTGTATTTGAAAATTAAAATCGCAAGCGAGAAACAGGGTCTTTCAGGGTCTTTCTGCTGATGGCTAGACAAGGTGTCTTCTGGTATTTTCACCCAAGGGAGAGGAGTGGACAGGGTGTGACGTGTCAGAGGCCTTGCTCCCCAGGGAGGTCCCTCGCTGTGCACACGTCCCTGCACTCGCTCCTGGCAGCCGGCCGGCGGCCACACCTGCCTCTCTTCCTTCCAGAGAGCCTGCTTCATCCTGAGCACTTAGAGTTGAGAAAATTACATGGTTAGCTAATACTGAAGACAGTCCTGCCACTTTCTCTACGTTTTCACCCATAAGGTGGAACTGCAGATTCATCACCTTCAGCTTATTAGAAACGACAGGCAAACGTGTTTGTTGTCACAGTGGCCACCTCATGCTCTATTTCAAGCTCCTATTTCAACGTTTCTCAGGCCAGTCCTGTCGCCCTGCGGTGGGCATGGGCATGGACCCTGGACAGGAAGAGCCCTTAAGGTTGTTCCTGGCTGGCTTCTCAGGGGTGTGAGGCGTGCGTTCACAGAGGTGCAGAGATCAGAGTTATAAAGGGGTTTGTCAGTCATCCCTGCTGCCAAAGTGCAGTGTCTGAACCCAGGACATTCCTCCACGAAGTGCGTTTCACAGGCACAGTGTTGTACCTTACACGCATGCACACATGCGCGCGTGCACACACACACACACTCAGTGTGAGGCAGGGGAAGTGCACGGGGCCTCAGTCTTCTGGGGATGTTCACACCTGGAGGCAGGGCAGTTCACCCAGCCTGTGAGAGGACGTCTTCCTTTGAAGTGGAGCAATTAGGGGCTGGGGAGACCACTAGGCCCAGGAGCATGTTGGCATGTTGTCCAGCATGGAGTTCGGCCGTGTAGAAATGGTCCTGCCTAGGGGCCAGTGTGCACATACTCCTTGAGGGTTTTGCTCTTACACCTGGTCCCCTTGGCACACTCTGGCGTGTGCTTCCTCCAAGACAAGAAGAAGTGGACTCGAGCTGGGGGGAGGGAGGAGGGAAGGGTTTCCTCACATTGTAATGGAAAGTGGGGCTCAGCTTTCTCCCTCTGTACACTGTTGTGTGCTAAGTCCTAGTTGTCCAAGAAGCCAGATTGTTCTAGCCTCAACACCTTGGCTAGGAACTAGGCCTGCATGAATTGGGTCATGGTGTACTGGGCCATGGTGAACACAGGCCATAGGCACCCTGCCTGGCGCAGGTGCGTGGGGCAGTGTGGCTGCAGAGCCAGGTGAGGACAGGGGTCAGGGAGATGGCCCGCGGTCAGCACTGGGAGAACGTGCCACAGGGTGGGTGGTGCAGCTTCGGGGCAGGCTCGGCATCGACGAGACAGAGTGGGTCAGGTAAGCGCTGCGGCTTCAAGGAGAGACGCACTGAGCTCCCAGAGATGGTCTCGTGAAAGAAGAAAAATGAGAAAGGACTCTTCTGTTTTCAGAGCAGAGTTAAGAAAGGTAATTCTGAACAAATGCAGCAGTGGTACTCACTAGACACTGTGTTGAAAGGAACAGTACACCTTGTGGGTGAGGATGGGAGGGAAAAACTGGGAGAGAACACAGGAAGGGGTGACGTGGTCCAAAAAGAAATGTGCCCATTACCTGACTTAGGCAACTGCAGCCCTCCCTACATCACCTTTGAAGTAAGAGCAAGAACAGGTGTGTAAATGAGAGCACGGCGGGCAGAGTCAGCCCGTGACTGCTGTCCTGGTTACGGTTGATGCTCCTCACTTGTTAGGGCACAAACGGACAAAGCTTGCTATAGTCCATGGAGACCGCAAACCAGGACTTACAGATACGGTTCCAGCTGAGGGACAGCAGAGAGAATGGTCTGGCATCTTTGACACAGGCAGAGAGTTGGAATCTTATTTCTTCAGTGGAATGGAAAGCTAACCAGAGAGAATACCAAGGAGAAAGGATGGAAGGTTCTGGAGTAGTCTGATGTTAGCGCTGTGTCTACTGTGGGCAGCGGTCATTCCTGGAAGGACAGAGCCTGGGCCCTGCGATGGGCCGCGTGTGTGGAGGGAAGCTGGTCTCTGGTGAGGGGCAGAGCAGGCTCACGAGGCCCCCGTGAGCTGTGGTGGCCGTGCAGAGTGGACTTCACCACCTGCAGAGCTAAGAAGCCTCGTGTGAAGGTTCTGAGGTTCTGTGTCTCGTGTCCAAATTGGTGTGAGGATCCCTCCTCAGCACCTGGGAGAACAGTGGGCTGTCACTCACTGTCTTTGGACGGTCACAAATCCAGGTGCATGTATAAGAGTTAGACATACGCACGGGTTAGTGTTCTTGTTACTGGTGGAACTCTGTAAGGTAGGGGAGGTTCACTTTTTTCCGTAGGTTTCAGTGTATCGTGGGGAAGGTGTGGTGGAGCCCCTCACCTCATGGAGGATAGGAAGGGCCCAGGGCAAGGGAGAGCCCAGGACATACCCTGTGCCCCGCCCCGCCCAGGGCAGGACTGACCCCCCCCCCCCCCCCCCCAGCTCTACAGCCCTAGTCTAATTCTCTTTGTTTGCAAACCCTAACTTAGTGTTTGCCTTCTGTCCCTTTTTTGTTTGTCTATTTAAAGGATTTTTTTTGTGTGTTTTTAATAGATGAGGGTTACTACCAGGGTGGAAAATTTCAGTTTGAAACTGAAGTTCCTGATGCATACAACATGGTGGTGAGTAGTCTCCGCTTGAGCCTTGTCTCCCCAGCCCAGGTGGGGTGCTTGCCAGGGAGGGGGCTGGGCCCTCTTGGGGACTGGGCACCAAGTCTCCGTGCTCCCAAGTCTCCGTGCTCCCAAGTCTCCGTGCTCCCAAGTCTCCGTGCTCCCCTGCCGCCCCTGGGAGCAGCTGGGGTTTCAGAACAGAAATTCATTTCCTCGGCAAGTGGGGATGAGTGCTCCGTGCCAGGTCGTTTTGCTAAGTATGGGGCACGTTGTTCAAGATCAGCACTTCACAGTGTGCTGCTGTAGAGCTTGCGAACACAGCGACGACTCGTGTTCATGCAAGGCATCCTCCCCGGAGCTGAGGTTCCGGGTTTGGTCGGTGCTTTAGAGGTGGGGAGGGAATAGTGAAGGAGAGACGGACTGGCAGATGGTCTGAAGCTAGTGGACTCCTGTCCATCAGAGAAGGAAAGGCGGTGGTCACATTGGGAAGGTTGCCGGGGTGGTTCAGCTTTTGAGGAGGAGTTGAGTCAGCTCTGAATCTGGGGAGAGCATTGTGCTCCGGGGCACAGGCTCTGAGCCGCTGGGGTCACAGCTGTGGGATTTGCCACCTGTGGGGTCACAAGAGAGGAATCAGGGTGAGGGAAAAGCAGCTCAGATTTGGGGGTGCTGTTAAGTACTTTTGACTTGGGATTGAGAAACCACTGAAGCTCCTGAGCAGCGCCACCCTCCTGAGTGGGGTCAGAGGCCGGGGTTCGCCCAGGAGCTGGACAGCTCTCCCCCGGTGTTTACTGTGTACACCGTGTGTGTACAGTGAGAGGTGTGTGTGTATGTGTGTGCGTGTGTGTGAGAGAGAGAGAGAGGGGTGGGGGAGGAGGGAGAAGGGGGGAGACTCCTGATGCTTTCTAACCCTCTCAGCCTATCAAATGGAACAGAAAAATCTGGTGGTCTATGTTGAGCAAAGCCTGAGGATGCCATTGCTGTGCTCTGCTGACTGTTGGCACCAAACACCAGGGTACAGTTCAGTGACTGCAGCTCTCTCTCTCTCTCTCTCTCCCTCTCCCTCTCCCTCTCCCTCTCCCTCTCCCTCTCTCTCTCCCTCTCCCTCTCTCTCTCTCTCTCTCCCCCTCTCCCTCTCCCCCCTCTCCCCTCCCCCTCTCTCTCCCTCTTTCTCCCTCTCTCTCCCTCTCCTTCCCTCTTCTCCTCCCCCCCAAGTCCTGGGGCTTGAACTCAAGGCCTGGGCACTGTTCCTGAGCTTCTTTTGCTTAAGGCTAGCACTCTACCACTTGAGCCATAGCACCATTTCTGACTTTTTCTGACTATGTGGTACTGAGGAATTGAACCCAAGGCTTCATGCATGCTAGGCAAGCACTCTACCACTGAGCCACCTTCCCAGCCCTGCAACTCTCTTTTACTTGAAGCCAAATCTCTCCCTCCCCCCCACCCCCCACCCCTCTGGTAGTACTAGGGTTTGAATTCCAGGCCTTCCACTTTCAAGGTAGGCTCTTTACCACTAAACCACACCTCTGGACCTGTTTTACCTTCTTACCTTTTGCTGGGATCTGCTGCCTGTCTTAGGCCTCCTGCCATGACCACAGCCTCTTGCTCTTGGAATGAGTGGGGTCTTGGGAATTTTTCTGCCTGGGCTGGCCCACAACCGTGATCCCACCTTCCCCCAGGCAGCAGGCTCATGCCACTGCGCCCAGCTACAGGTGCAAGTTTGCCTAGTCTGGCCTTGAGCGTCAATCCTGTCAGAGCTGCCAAGTAGCTAAGATCACAGGTTTGGACACCATGCCCAGCTTAAGCCAGATCGACCTATGAAATGGATTTCTATTGGGCTGCTATACTAAAAGTTCTTTTCAGAGATGAGGAATTGTTGGCAATCTAAGAAAAAGAAAATAATTGTTTTAATAAAGACAAGAAAGTGCGCCTGTCAGGTGTCTAGCCAGCCAGCCACCTAACACTGAGACTTTACATCCTCCCCAGATGACAAACCAAGACGCCTCACAGAGGCAGCTGGGAAGGTTGGTTTAAGGTTGAGATGAAGAGTTTGGGGGCCGGTTTTTGGTTTCTGGAAACCGCTAGGCATACAGAATGTAAAGTTCCAGACTTACTAAGTATCCGAGCATGCTCACCTTTGTGCGTCATGTCGAAGGCAAGAGGAAGGAAACTTTCCTCTGCCAAGGACCATTTGGCTATTTTAACCACATTTATGGAGCATGCAGAATTACCAGACGGCCTCGGGCTGCTGAGGAGCCTGGGAAGCCTGTAGCCCACCTCCTCACTCCACCCGGGCACCGGAGCACGCTGTGCCCTGACTCCCTTTGGCAGCTCAGGGAAGATTTTGGCCCGGGCCGATGGACTTGCCAACAAGATGAGGTCGCCCCATCCCACACGCGACCTGCTGGCAGGACTGGCTGTGACCCCTGTGCCGACCCAGGGTATCTCGCTGAGGTCCCCGTGGGCTGCACGTAGGCGTGCGGTGGCCATTCTGAAGGTCCCCTGCACCGTCAGCCAGGGCCTCTGACCCTGTTGCTCTGGAGGGCGCCCCGCGGAGGCCTCCCTACAGGGTGTGAGCAAGTGGGCAGGCCCATGGCCATGGCAGGTCTTCAGTGGAGGAAGTAGGGCAGCCGTGGGACCCCCAGGGCTGTCTGAAAGGACGACCGTGTGGATGCACACGGCACACACACCTGCGAGGGGAGAGCCAGGGCACTCTGCATGGAGTAGGATGGTATATCACGTCCAAAAGACCTCGAAGATGAAGAGCCATTTCTGTATGTAGTGATATTTACCTGTAGTTATGTAATTATATAGCTTACATCATTATGAACTTATACTGTTCGCTATAATTTTACATAAACTATAAATCAGTGTATATTTCACTTTTGTTGTCTCCCTAAAAGAGTATGGATTACCTTTTTTTGGCTTGAGAGGTACCAGGGATTAAACTTGGCCTAGCATCGCTTTTCTCATATTCAATTCATGATGGAATCTGTAATCCAGGGTCTGAGCTGGGCAGGGCCAACTCTGAACACCCCAGACATAGGTCCCCGTGTGGACCATGCTAATATGTACACAGATGTCCAGCCATGGACAGGGCCTAGCCTCATGAGGGGCGCTCGTGGCCAGCGTGGTACAGTAGCTTTTCATACAAAGCTGTCTGGTTGGAGTTTGGAGACATTTTTTTTTGTGTGTGTGTGTCCAGTCTTGGGCCTGAACTCTGGGCCTGGGTACTGTCCCTCAGCTTTTCAGCTCAAGGGTAGTGCTCTACCATTTGAGCCACAGTGCCACTTCTGGCTTTTTGCTTATGTGGTGCTGAGGAATCGAACCCAGGGCCTCATGCATGCAAGGCAAGCACTCTACCACTGAGCCACCTTCCCAGCCCTCTGGTTGGAGTTTGGGGCTGGGTGCTGTGGGCCTCTTTAGAGCCCTGCCAGGTCACAGCCTGTGGCCAGGTCTTGTCACGCCTTGTAGAGGTGCACTTAAGGTGTGTTTACAGGCGTGGTGTGCACATGTGCTCTGTGCAGGTGGTGAGTAGATGGAGTGGAGACTCGTGTGTGTGTGTGTGTGTGTGCGTGTGTGTGTGTGTGTGTGTGTACGTACGCACGCAGTGTAAAGGCCCTCCATGCACAGACACGTGTGTGTGTGTGTGTGTGTGTGTACGTACGCACGCAGTGTAAAGGCCCTCCGTGCACAGACACGTGTGTGTGTGTGTGCGCGTGTGTGTGTACGTACGCACGCAGTGTAAAGGCCCTCCGTGCACAGACACGTGTGTGTGTGTGTGTGTGTGTGTGTGCAGTGTAAAGGCCCTCTGCACACAGACACTCATCCTGACCCCTCTCTGTTGCAGCCTCCCAAAGTGAAATGTCTGACCAAGATCTGGCACCCTAACATCACAGAGACAGGGGAGATATGTCTGAGGTGAGTGTCCCTCCCTCCTGCGCGGTGAGCACTGTGTGGGCGTGGCCTGCACTCATGAGGCCTGGCCACTTTGGTAAAGTTGGAGTAGCACCCCTCCCCCGCCCCCCTGCAGTCTAGAGCTCTGTTTCCCTGGAGGCCAAGTGTCCAGGCCCAACATGAGGAGTGGGAGAAGCACACACCGCTCCTCTGTGGCCACGTTCTCTCCAAGCTGTGCATTTATCTGCTAATGGTCTCCCTTTTGGTTTTTTTTTTCCCCCTTCCCTTTCTTTTTTTCTTTTCATTCCTACTTGGACGCAGCTTCTGTGCTCAGGGCTCAGTGGCACTCTACTAGTTGAACCACACCCCCATTTCTGGCTTTTTGCTGGTTAATTGGAGATAAGTCTCTGGGGTTTGTCTGCCTGAACCTCAAGCCATGATCCTCCGATCTCAGCCTTCTGAGCAGCCAGGCTCACCGGCCAGAGCCACCCAGTGTCCAGCTCCTCTTGAGTTGGGCTTTTCATTTTGATAAATACTATTTTATATGATCAGAGGCATGTAGGCATTGCACCTTTCTGCTCCTCCTTTCACCTTGTGTTTTTTGAAAAACTGGGCACTAAAATGAACCAGGAACCCTCCAAGGAATCCCTCCGAGGTGGCTCAGAGGAAGCTCAGCCAAAGCTCGGGTGAACCATTCGCCCAGCTCCCTCCCCACCTCCCCACCGCTCCAAGCCAGTCAGTGCTCTTGTCATTTCCACTGTGGCCGGACTTGCTTAAAACACCCACATCACAAGAAAGGGTGTCTGCACAACAACGAAGTAAAATAACAGATCACGCCGTGCGTGCACCTCCCTCGGAGGTGAGGTGGGGAAGCCCGTCTTCAAGCAGACAGGGAACAGAAACACCGAGGAGAAGTCAGTTTCAGAACTACATCTCCCCTGTTCATAAACAAAGACTCGGACACCGCGGAGCCCTCGGGGACCGCGCAGGGTTTGAAGCGCCCTGCCGCACACATGAGACCCGGGGCATTCTTGTGTCTGTTTCAGTTTGCTGAGAGAGCATTCTATCGATGGCACCGGCTGGGCTCCCACCAGAACGCTCAAGGTAAGCGGCATCTCTGGCACCGAGTCCCCCTCTTTCTCAGGCAAGCAGACTCCTGGGAGGGCAGTGTGCCCACGCCAGGCATGCCCACACAGGTGGCCAGGCACACCCTTGGCCCTTGTCTCCCCAGCACCTGCCACCCGGGGCCGCTCAGCCGAGCTTGGGCCCGTCCAGACCTGGTTGGATGAGGGCTGTTGGCCAGGGCTAAACACCCTCCAGGAGACAGCGCGAGAGCGCGCGCAGCTAGCTGTGCTCTGACCCTCTCTGAAGGACTGTCACCAAACAGGCATCTTGGGAAAACAGTGCATGAAACCTGTGGGCCCGTGTCCAGGGTCAGAATGTGCTGACCATGTGAGACCCGCGTGGGCTGAGGTCTCTGCCACAGGGGCAGCCCGCCCCGACTCTTCCGCTTCTCCCCATGCCCTCAGCGCCACCCTCTGCCCAGAAGGCGCTCCCCTCCCGCAGCCCTCTGCTGCACCCCCGCAGGCCTCCGCACGCTACCCTCTCTGGCCTCCCTCCAGCCTTTGCCCCCAGCGCGGAGGGCTGTGTGTGAGCCTGAGCCCCGCCCCCCCATCTGCCCAGCCCCCACCAGACTGAGCCCTGGGCCGGAGCCGGGTGTGTGGATGAATGGAGGGGCGGATGATGGGAGGAAACAGAACAGTTAACCACTAGCTGAGAATACGGAGGAGCGAGGAGCAGCCACGGAGGGGACAGGACGGCGATGGAGCGGGGCCAGCTGTGATGGAATGACACATTTTGTTTTAATGAAGTTTTCAGTCCTGGAAATGTTGTCCATCCCTTGGTTTTTGAGGTAACTGGAGCAAAACTAGAAGACTTGGGGGCGTAGTTAGCTTATCTACAGCGCCCCCCCAAATGCAGTTGACATTACAAATAGCAAGTTTGCTTTATTTTTGTTTTTCTGTAATTTTTAATTTGTTTTTTGGTACCCATCCTGGGGCTTGAGCTCAGGTCTCTGCGCTTCTTTTGCTCAAGGCTAGCACTCTACCACTTGAGCCACAACTCTGGCTTTGTAGTTTTTGTTTTTGTTTCTTTTTGGTAGATAATTGGAGATGACGGTTCTGCCCGGGCTGGTTTTGAACTGCAGTCCTCAGTCTCAGCCTCCTGAGTGGCTAGGATGATGGACGAGAGCAGTCAGCGCCTAGCCAGCAGGCTTTGTTCTACAGGTGCTTTTCCAAAGTCTGTGGCCCGGGGGGAGGGAAGGGGCTCTCACTGCCTGCCCCCTCCCCCGGGGGCTGGAGGGTCCGCCAGGGTCCCACCGGTCACCTTTCCTGAGCTTCCTGGGGTGTTGTCCTTGAAGGAAAGCGGTTTTCAGTTCCTGTCTGGAGAAGAGCGGCTGTGCTGAGGACGCGTCAGGCTGCGCGGTGCCGTGTTTCTGGCCATGGGCTGAGTCCACGGGAAGCTGAAAATTGTTTTCTTTCTTATTTCAGGATGTTGTTTGGGGATTAAACTCTTTATTTACTGTAAGTATGTCGATCAAAATCCCAAGGTTCTCTTGGTTTTCCTGGCTGACGGTTTGAACATCACCTGAGGTGTAAACCGGGGCCACACCGTCCTTGCCGTCAGCACTGTGGATGACCGGGGGGGGGGGGGGGGGGGGTGCAGAACCCCGCTTATGCCCCGCCAGCTGCCCACCGGCCTATGCCCTGGGTGCGGCCAAGGGTCCTGTGAAGCCTCAGGGTTGTTCTGTACCAGGCTCTGTAGGGCAGGAAGGGGCTATTACTTTGGTGAGAGGTTGTTTTTTTTTTTTTTGGTTGTTTGAGCTTTTTTGCGTGCTGATACTCTACCATTTGAGCCACAGCTCTATTTCTGGCTTTTTGGTGGTTGGTGGGAGGTAAGAGTTTCGCAGACTTTCCTGCCTGGGTTGGCTTCCAACTGCAGTCCTCACATCTCAGCCTCTCTGAGTGGCTAGGAGGACAGGTGTGGGGGGGTGGTGAGAGCCACTGGCCACCCAGCTGAGAGTTTTTAAAGAACTAAGCTTCAGGGAGCTGTCCGTGAATCAGAAAGCCTGCCTGCCCTGCAGTTCCTGGGAGACGCCTCTCCCTCTCCCTCCCTGAGTGCGGGGCTAACCGGAGTCTCTGCCTTTGCGTTGTCATTTGGACTGTCTGGGCGGCACCTGCCCACCAGCCAAGAAAGCCACACTTCAGTGGCTTCTGGCCCTCCCGGCCCCAGGGTGGATGCCAGGGGGATGGGGGGGAGGTGGTGGTGGCGGTAGCTTGGTTTGGTGTGGGTTTGCGGGCCTGGGCTGATGGGTGGAGTGAGTCTGGATGTCCCAGGGCAGAGCCAGCAGCCACCGCTCTGCCCTGCTGAGCCTGGGTGGCCTCTGTTTGTCCCTGAGGGCCAGCCGTGTCAGCAGCATGGTGGAGGAGCCTTCCAGAGCCCGGCTGTGCACCCCAGCTTTCTCCACAGCCATGCGTGGGCTTTGACCCCCCCTGGCTACTGGTGGATGACTGGGGAGAGGTGGACTCTGGGCTTCTTGGATTCTGTTTTGTTTGGAGGCGTCTGGTGCCCCAAAGCTTACCAATCCCTAGGGCAAGTCAGAGGTTCAGTTACGTCTGCAGTGGGTATTGCAATCCATATGTCCACTTGAGGGCAGGCATATGGTAAAGAAGATAAGGAACATAAAGTCGTGTGAGCTATGCTAGGTATTGCATGGTATCAGGACTGGAACTCAGGGCCTCTCAGCTTCATTGCTCAGGGCTGGTGCTCTATCACTTGAGCCACACCTCCAGTCCAGCATTTTGCTGGTTAATTGGAGATGGAGTCTTTAAACTTCTTGTGTCTAGGCTGCCGTGTACCTTGATCCTCCAGGCCTAGCTTCCCGGTAGCTGGGATGACAGGTGTGAGCCATGGTGCTGTACTTGGTGACTTTGCCAATTTCTAAGAGTTGCCGTGAGACTTTTCTGACTGTGAATGAGCACAGAGATTTAGTTTGTCTTTGCTGTGTCTGTGATGTCCGTCCCACCTGAGTGTCCTCCCAAGTGGCGGACTCCAGTGCCCGGAGGTAGTGAGGTTTCCGCAGGAGAGCAGGGTTGCCTGCAGGCATCGCAGCGCCACCACTGAAGACATTCGCACCCTGCAGACACAAGTCCTACGGGCCTGGCTGTCCAGCAGGACGGGCAGGCAGGCAGGGGTGGCCCCCCGAGGGGGACGGGGTCGAGGCGCCCTGCCTCGAGGTGCTGCCCTGACGAACCCCCAGGGGCTGTGTGTGACATCTGTGAAGGGAGTCAGAAGATGGGGAGAGCCAGTCAAGACCAGAAGAGAGCACACCCAAGTGCAAAGTGTGGAGTGCTCACAGGGGAGAGAAAGTCTTGCTTTGATGAGACTTATTTGGAAGTACCCCAAGTATCAACAATGGCATCCAGTCGGGTGGCTGCTGTGCTGCAGCGCCACCAGAACTTGGATAGAGACTTGTAAACCATTCCTGGCCTCTCTAGTCATAACTCTCCCTTCCACTCTGAAAACATGCCGGCAGTACTCTCGCTTACAGCAAAGTCACTTACATTCTGAGAGGAACCACAATTTCTGTTGTTGCCTTTTGTAAAGTGAAAACTTAGCCGGAAATGGGTGTTCTTCCTGGGCTTACCTGGGTTTCTCTTTTTAAAGGATCTTCTGAACTTTGATGACCCACTGAACATCGAAGCTGCAGAGCACCACCTGCGAGACAAGGTGAGTGAGCAGCGGGCTCGTTGGGGAGCCAGGCCTTTAAGCAGCTGCACACACGTGCTCCAGGGGTGGTGTGCTCTGAACGTCAGTCAGAGAAGTGCTTCTCGTAAAACGCAGCTGAGTAACTGAAACGAGGCAATTATTCATCTGCCTTATAAACAGTAGCAGAGGGCTGGCCGTGCAGCTCACAGGCCACTGTGCTTGTCACAGCGTGTGTGAGACACCTGGCTCTGTCCCCAGCCCTGCAGATACACCAAACCAACCCCACACAGTGGTCCAGGGAGCTGGGAGGGAAGTGTGGCGTCTGGCCTCCTGTGCAATCCTCTGGATCTTCAGTTCCCTTTTTCATGACGGTTGCTGACCTTTCCTCCAGAGTCAGTGCTAAGGTCCACTCATTCATCAGCCCTTCGCTTCGTGATGAGCATTCAGGTTTTTCCCACAGGATGACTTCCAGCTACACACAGTAATTCCGCAAATACCTCTTGTAGGTGCACCCTTCAATCCTGGTGCATTTGTTCTAGAGGAGTCTCTGGGCCAGAGAGGATGCAGCTGTTTGAGCAGCTTTTGGTGTGTGCTTTCTCCGCTGGGCTGCGGGAGAAGCCCCTTGAATGCCACCAGGCTTCTGTGCCCTCCCTGGGGACAGACACTGGCGCTCTGCCTTCTGAATCTGCACAGATTGTAGGCCATTATTTAGACATGCATTCGCTGCCAGTAACTTGGCTCTTGGAGCCAGCCACTCTCATATGGGACTGCTTGGGTTTTATCGAATGTTTCAGAGTGTGCTGGAGGATGAGCCTGTGCACAGCCAGCCACTTTCACACATGCTGTGTGCAGAGCTCTGTCTTGCTAACTTCAAGTGAGTACGAGGTGTCTCCAGTAAAATGCCTATTTCAAGAAGACAAACAGGGTAGAAAATGCTCATGCCTGTGATTCTACTCAGGAAGCAGAGCTCTAGAAGCTGGAGGTTTGAAAACAACCCAGACAGAAAAGTCCACAAGACTCCATCTCCAAAATAACCGGCAAAAAGCAGAGCTAGCAGCATGGCTCAAAGGATAGAGTGCCAGCAAAACAAGCAAACTCAAGGCCCTGACTCAAATACTGATACTGGCAAAAATAAAAATAAGTAGGCAAACAGCAGGCACCAGCGGCTCACACCTCTGATCCTAGCTACTTAGGTGGCTGAGACATGAAGGTTCATTATTCAAGACCAGCCTGGGCAGAAGAGTCTCAGACTCCATTTCCAAAATAACTAGCAAAAAGTAGAGCCAGAAGCATGGCTTACCTAGTAGATTGCCAGCCTGGCAAGCACCAGGCCCTGGGTTCAAACACTAGTATGAACAATGCAGAAGAAGCAGCAGAGGAGGAGAAGGAAAAGAAGAAAAGCGATCAGGGAACCTGTGTGGCCCTGGCAGTATGAGCGGAAGTGAGGGCAGAGGGCGGAACACGCCGAGTCCTGTGGCTTGGGAGCTGGGCTTCACCAACTGAGCTGCGCAGGCCGCTTCCCATCAGCTCAGGTCTGCCAGGTGTGTGCTCTGTGGCCTGAGCTGTAGTGCTGGCTCCTGTGAGCAGGCGGGACTGCCTGCCTGGAGGCTGTGGATGTGACCTTTGGATATTTTGCTGCAGGGCAGTTGGTTTCCATAAAGCCCAACCCCTGTTCAACACACACACACACACACACACACACACACACACACACACACACCTCCCTCCTTGTGGGTGAACAGCTTGTGTGGGAACTTTCGTACACAGTGCCCCCCCCACTGCAGCCCCCCCCCGCCCCCCCCCCCCCCCCAGCTTGCAAACCCAGCACGGATCCGAGTTCGGCAGGGTCTGCGTTAACTCAGGGTGGCAGGAGGCGTGCCTGAGGCAGAGCTGGCAGAGGCCTTGGCACGTGGGCTCCACCCAGCAGAGCAGCCCCCGGCCCTGAGCCCGGCCTGCGCCTCCACGGTGGGGCGTGGGCCGAGTGGACACGGCCAGCAGGTGGGGGCTGTGGCCCAGAAGGACTGACGGCTGCCTGAGCCGCTCCCTGTGGGGCGGCTGCACAGTGAGAGGATCGGGAGCTCCAGACGCTCAGGCTCAGTCCTGTGATCATGTGCCTCCTGGCCTCCAGAACTTTCCTCCCCTACTGGTCTGGTGGAGTCGCGGGTCCCTGCTGTCTGTGGCCTGGCTGGCCTCTGGGTGGTCTGCGCGAGGTCGGAGCTGTAAGACACAAGTCCTTCTCCCAGACGGGGGCCGTGGCTGCCTGGGCTGGGGCAGCGGCACACGGCACATGGGCAGGGTCCAGGCAGGGTCCGGGGAAGCCAGATTGGAAAGCGGGGTCTCTGTAGTCAGAAGCCTCGGGTCCCTGGGCATTCCTTCCACGCTTGCCCAGTGAGGGAGGAGAAGGGGTGCGAAGGAGCCTCCGCCGCCCGCCCCGCCCGTCGCCTACGCTCGCAGTGGAGTCGCGGGCATGTGACACTGGACCCAGCCGTCTCCGGTCACTCTGTCCCCCCGTGGTGACGCACCAGTCCTTGCACGGAGCCCTCACTCCCTCTCCCACCCTCTCCCTCCACAGGAGGACTTCCGGAGTAAAGTGGACGACTACATCAAGCGTTACGCCAGATGATAGGAGGAGAGGATTGCAGGCCCGTGGACTGTGTCACAGCTCGTGTCTAATGTGGAACAGCACGAGGTAGCCCTGCTCCCGTCCTCACGCTCCCTCTGCCCACGGGATCGCCCCAGGCCTGTGACCATGTTGTCCCGAAGAAGACCGTCCTCCTGACGCCAGCTGTAGATGGCGGATGAACACAAATACAGCAAGAAAGCCTTTGGGCCTCTAGAGAGTTGTCTGCTTCCCTTACCATGTTTACTCCTGAAGCTGTGCTGTCTAGGCTGCCGCGAGACTTCTCAGAAGTTGTCCTGAGCTCAACCCTGAGGCTAGCGCTTGCTTCCCCTCCCCAACCGAACCGGTCCCCCTGCACAAGTGATGTAATGATGTGTTCAGTGTAACTCGCAGATTGGCAATAAGAAACCCGCTGCAAACTGAGATTGGATGCACATTCTCTTAGCTTCCTCCACGAAGGTTGGCCCTGCCTAGATGTGAAGCTTCCCAGAATGCATTGCCATTCACTGTAGATCTTACTGAAATGCGTATTTTATTTAATGTAAGTATATTTTGGAACAGATTTGTAATTTGTACAATTGAATGCTTTAATTATTTTTTTCTATTCTCATTTAGTTTGTATTTTCATTGTATAGAGCAGACACAAAGATGTCGGGTCAAGCAACTCTTGAAGAGAAATACAAAGAAACTGAAAGACACATTAGTCATTCTCTCCGAGCGCAGAAGGCAGCCCCTAAACAGCTGCTGCTCTCGTGTCCAGATGTGGCGAGGATGTTTTGGAGCCCTTGGAAGCTAGATCTGGATGATAAAAATAAAAGGCAGGGCTTGGGCTCAGGCCAGCCGGGGTTGGGGGTCCTGCGGTGGGCATGAAGCGTGGGCCTGTGGCTGCCCATCAGAGCCCTGCCCTGCAAGAGACAGGAGGCGCCTTGGGAGACCACCCCGTGTCTGATGCCACGGGACTGGGCTGTGGCCATCCCGAGTTGGCTGGGTGCCAGGCCCTGGGGGCAAGCCCCTCCCCACCCCCCAGCCATGGAGGGCCAGGCGCCAGGCCCAGCGTGTGCCATGCGTGGTCAGGTTGATACGCTTCAGAGGAAGAGCCTTGAAGAGAGGAAGTGGATTGTTCTGGCATTTAGACATTTGAGCCAGTGAAATCAAATGCAAAATAAATGTCTGTCTGGTTTCATTTGCTGCCTGCCTGACACTCAGATTTTACTGCCAGTCTCTCTGCACCTCTGCAGTCTCCTCCCCCCCCCCCCCCCCACTCACTCAGATTTAACTGCCAGTCTCTGTGCCTCTGCAGTCCCCCCCTTCCCCCCATCTGCCTGACACTCAGATTTAACTGCCAGTCTTCCTAGACCTCTGCAGCCCTGTCTGCTATCCGCTGGGTCCAGCTTGCTTTTCTCTGTTTATACAGTCTCTGGCTATGAGACTTATCTGACTTGGAGACTCAGCAGGTGAGGAGGGTAGACCAGGCTTTCCTGGTTGGCGTGAGGAATTGTGTCCGTTGGACCCAAGGGTGACCCGCTGGCAGGCCTCGCACCGGGTTCAGTGGAGTGGCACCATCTCAGTGTAATGAGTTTTCCATCCCATTGTTGGTGTCATTTAGAATTCACAGCCAGGCTCCATAATAGCCTTCACTTGGTAGCCAGGAGCCTGCAGCTGTGCACCCATAGGTCTGACGCCAGTGTATGGCAAACCCCAGCAGAGTTGACAGGGCTGCTGGCTGGCGGCGTCAGGGTGCTGGAGCTGTGGGCACGTGTGTTGAGTGATGGGCAGCAGGCAGTGCCCTCTGCACCACTCTGAGTCACCGTGTGCATGAGGACGCTGACCTCCAGATGCCTCACAGCAGGAAAAGGCCTTGTCAGAGATGGCACCCTTGGCAAAGACGTTTCCAGATAGATCTTCCCATTCTGTGAGTGCAGACCCTTCCGAGAGCACCAAGCCGCTGCTGTGGATGAGCCGCTGGCGCTCAGCCCCTGCGGCCCTCAGACGCGATCTTCACACCTATTGGCTCTGCTGGTGTCTCACCCTGTCCCGTCCACCCCCCTCTCCCCCCCCCCCCCCCCCCCCGCCCCCAGGCCAAAGCACTTTCTGCATGACCTCAAAATCTGGGCTTTGGACTCACTGTTGATTTTTGTTTTGGGGCTGGTACTGGGCATGAACTTGGGCCTTGGGTGCTGTCTCAGCTCTTTTGCTTAAGGCTGGTACTTGATCCACAGCTACCTTTCTGGCTATTGGCTGGTATAGTGGAGATAAGAATCTCATGAAGTAGCTTTAACTGTGATCCACATATCAGCCTCCTGAGTTGTTAGAATTACAGGCGTGAGCCTAGGGAACTCGATGGACTCATGGATTTTTTATTTTACTGTATTTTATTGTAAGGGTGATGTACAGAGAAGGGCTCATTGATTTTCTACCACCAAATTCACAGAGCTGGAGTTCTCCCAGCAAGTCCACTGGTTTCGGTCTGTATCAGCGCCAGGTAGAGAGGACAGGGCTGCTCCCGGCTAGGGAGACGCAGGGCCTTGCACAGCCTGCAGGGATAAGTGCTTGCCAAGCAGGCACCTGTTCTGAGTGAGCAGCCACCGTGACTTGGCACCCTCTGTGTGGTCTGAGGAGCATCGGACCGTGGGTGGCATCAGGTGTGAACAGTCCCTGATGTTGTAGCTAGGGGCTGCCAGGAGGCCTTTGTCTGGATCTTCACTACATTCTCTGGCCTCGTTGCAGCTGCCCACAGCCCATGTGTGACACTGGCAGGTCAATGATCTCAAACCAGCCACTTATGTTATCACACATCTTACACTGTCCTCGGCCTCAGCAAACCTGTGCCCTTCCCCGTCCCACAGGGCTTTGACCTCAGTGCGTCCGTGAGGAGCCCTGGACGCAGAAGTGCAGGCAGGGTCCGGTGACTTGAATCTGCTGTGCTTACCATGTGCCTTGCAGGACTGAACAGTGGTGTGTGGCAGCCGCAGCTGAGGAAGAGTCCGCAGCACGAGCAGCCGAGAGACGTCTGTGAAGAACTGGTTGCTGCTGTGTTTGGCAGTACTAGGGTTTGAACTCAGGGTCTTTCACTTGCTGTATGAATGCTCTGCCACTTGAGCCACGCCCCGCAGCCCTTTTTGCTTATAGTTATTCTAATAGGAGCTATGTATTAATGCCCAGGCCCACCTGGACCATGATCCTCCTATTTATGTTCCCTGTGTAGCAGGAGTGACAGGCATGCACTATGTAGCCCAGCTTTTATTGCTCAACTTGGGGTCTCAAGAACTTTTGGCACCAATTGGCCTTAAACCATGATACTCCTGGTCTTTGCCTCCCAATAGTGAGGATTGCAGGCATGAGCCACTGTGCCTGGCATGATTGTTGTTTCCATGAGTATCAAGACAGTTAGGCAAAGGAAACAAATGTCTTTTCAGCAGATGTTGCTGTGATGCCCTGAATTTGGACTCCTGATTCATGTTGTGTTATCAGATTTACTAAGACCTATGTGTAAAAGCTACAAGTACAGCCGGGCGCCGGTGGCTCACACTTGTAACCCTAGCTACTCAGGCGGCTGAGATCTGAGGATTGTGGTTCAAAGCCAGCCCGGGCAGGAAAGTCTGTGAGACTCTTATCTCCAATAAACCACCAGAAAACCGGAAGTGGTGCTGTAGCTCAAGTGGTAGAGCGCTAGCCTTGAGCTGAAGAGCGCAGGGACAGTGGTCAGGCCAGCGTTCAAGTCCCACGACCAACAACAACAAAAAAAGCTACAAGTACAAAACTAGGGAAACCATAAGAGCAAGGCATCTATAGTCATGGGTTAGGCAAAATACTTTTAAATATGATAGCACAATACAGACAAAAAATTAGCAAATCCTGGACTACAACAAACTTCACAATTGTGTGCTTCAGGGGATACCAGCAAGAAGGTAAAAAGACAACAGGGGCACCATTTTCAGATTCTACCCAGTGCAGGTGCAGTGCCTGGCATATAAAACACACAGCCAGCGCTGGAGGCGCACACCTGTAATCCTCACTGCTCAGGAGGCTGGGATCTGAGGACTGTACAACCACCAAAAAGCCAATGAGGACAGCTATGGCTCAGGTGGTAGAGTGCTAGCCGTGTGCACAAAAGCATAGCAACAGCACCCAAGCCTTGCGTTCAAGGCTGGCACCAAAAAAAAAGTTCTTAACCAGTTAAGACAATGACCTAAGTGTGTGTGTGTGTGTGTGTGTGCGTGCGCGCGCGCGTGCGCACCCGCCCATGCCTTAGTGCTTGGATGAGACCCCTGCATCTCAACAGCTAGGCAAGAGCTCTATCAGTGAGCTATCTGCAGCCCTGATAATCTGCTTTTTAAATGGATGGTGGTTCTTTTTGAGTCGGAGTCTCCCTGTGTTGCCCAGACAGGTCTTAAAATCCTGGCCTCAGTCACCCTCCCACTGCCGCCGCCTGATGCCCCAGGTGCCGAGGCGGTGGTTACATGCCAGACATTCAGCCAGCAGAGTCTGCACAGATTCGGCCGTGGTGAAGAATCGTCAACGAGCGATCCACACGCGTGAGGGTGCTCCACGTGACTATGAATATTAGGTGCTTCACACCCACCAGATGGCTAATAGTTACTTAGAAGAGAAAAGGAAATTTTACCAGATGTTGAAGACTTAGAATCTCCGTACATTATTGGGGGTGGGGACATTCCTGGGGCTTGAACTCAGGGCCTGGGCACTGCCCCTGAGCTGCTTTTGCTCAAGGCTAGCATTCTACACTTGAGCCACAGCACCACTTCCAGCTTTTTCTCTCTATGTGGTACTGAGTAATCAAACCCTGGGCTTCATGCATGTAGGCAAACACTTGGCCACTAAGCCACCTTCCAGCCGAATGTCCATATGCTATTGTTCAAATATAAAATGATGCAGTCTTTTCTGAAAACTTGTTGGAAGTTCCTTCTCAAATTCAACAGCATATTAGTGGAGACTTAGTCCTAGGATCTACTCAGCAGACCTGAAAACGTCCACAAAGGGACTCACATGAATTTCCAGAGCAGTACTGGTCAAAAAGCCAAAACCAACACCAAATATGCATCAAGGGACAGGCAATAAGACCCTGTGGGGAGGCCATGCAGGGGCCAGTATCCACACACGGAAGGGACATGTGGGGACCGGTGTCCATACATGGAAGAATATGCGGGGACCGGCATCCACACATGGGAGTGGCACGCGAGGACCAGCGTCCACACACAGAAGGGAGTAAAATTCAGGCAGGGACTACAGCCTGAATGAGCCTCGCACACGCCTCTCGGAAGAGCCAGACACAAAAGGCCAGAGTGTAGGATCATAGATGTGGAACCCCCAGGGGGCGACGTAGAGAGATGGCCGTAGCTTGGGGCTGCTGAGAGGAGGGTGCAGTATTTCTGAGGGAAATGATGTAAACGTTCTAGAATTGTCGATGGTTGCACAGCCTTTCCATTCAATTTTATGCTCAAGGAGTGAATTTTATAGTGTATAAATTATGTCCATTTTTGAAGCTGGCACCCAGAAATCAAGACAGAATTGTTCAAGTAAAGCTAAAAACTGTTCAAGCAACCTACGGGGAAGGCAAACAAAAAAAGGGTGGAGAAAAACATGAACCAAACAGAAGATAAATGGTAGATTTAACAGCTAACATGTCAGAGCGTGGTGTGGTGGTTCATGCCTGTGATCCCAGCACTGCAGCCTGAGGCAAGAAAAAGATCCTGGCTGGCTGGACCACATAGCAAGACCCTATCTCAAAATACTGTATGTAAATGACCTAAGTATACCAAAGTGAAACCTGGCAGAATGGATAAAAAGATGGAATGACATGCAGCTTGGAAGAGAGCATCAAGTCCACAGACATTCATGACTGAAAGGTTGAAAAATTTGTATACACTTGCAGAAAATAAATCAGTGATGGATGACAGCTGACATTTAGTCTTCTGGACAAAGCAAGCTAGAGACAGGATGTTACATAGCAAGAGATTCAGTACCAAGAAAACAGTCTTAAAACTACAGACGCCTCGGCACAGGAAGTAAAAACCTTCAGAACTGGGAGGAGAGACAGCAGATTAACCGTCAGGCCAGCCACACATTCTTGGCCACTTGTCCCAGAGAACTGGAAGTCTGGCTCACCTTTCCACCTTGCAGGCGTAAATGAGTGGGCCCGCTGCCCTTGGGCCTGTGTATTGTTAAGTATAACTACTGCAATACAGCTGTGCACATTACTGATTTTGAAAAATACAGACTTTATAAAGTGACTTTTGGCTCATATCATCAAAGTTCTGTCATTAGGGATGTACCTGCCTTCATACATGAACAAGCACCCACTGTTGCTGTCACTGAGTCCTGGCCAGCATCTGAGCTCACCCTTGGTCATACAAAGTATAGGACCACCCCTGCAACATCAAGCAAAGTAAGTTGACTGTCCTAGAATCTCTGTCCAGTCCCCTTTCCCCTGGATTTCAAACTCAGTTATTACAGTCGAATGCTTCATATATGCATACATGTGTGCATGCTGTACATATGTAAACACATAAGCACAAATGTGTATATCTTCATTGCACTGTCAGGGTTGAACCCAGGGCAAGTGCTCTAATACTGAGTTACATTCCCAGCCCCCCACATCTTTTTAACTGTTTAATAACTGCCTGTAGCTCTTGGGGGGCGGGGGAGGAGGTGGTATAGATACCCTACAGCAAAGCATCGCTCTCGGCGGCCATTCCCGAGGCTGCGTCCACTGATGGCCTCTGAAGACCTGAAGATCTCAGTTCAAAGCCAGCCCAGGCGACAGAGCCCCTGGGATTCATATCCATTAACCACCAAAAAGCCTGGGTGGAAAAGCTAAGGGACAGCACCCAGGCCCTGGGTTCAAGACACAGCACTGGCACGCACGCGCGCTGGCACACACACACCCGTGAGCGCGGGTGAGCACTAGCTCTCCCGTGCCCCACGGTGCTGGACCGGGACGGGACAGGGCAGGGGCCGGACAGGGCAGGTGCAGGACAGGGACCGCCGTCCCCACCGGCAAGACAGGACGCGCAGTTAGCGCCGGGGACAAACTGCGGCTGCGCGCGGCCGGCCCAGGACGGCAGCGCTGGGGGTCTCGCCAGAGTCGGGGGCTGCAGCCCGGCCTCCGGGGCCTCCACGCCGGTGCTGCTTCCGTACCGCTCCTCCGGGCCTCCGCGCCCCGGGCCTCGCTCCCCCCCCCCACCCCCCGCGGCCTGGGCCTCCGTTCCCCCCCCCCACCCCCCGCGGCCCGGGCCTCGCTCCCCCCCGCCCCCCGCGGCCTGGACCTCCGCAACCCCCCCCCCCCGCGGCCCGGGCCTCGCTCCCCCCCCGCCCCCCGCGGCCTGGGCCTCCGTTCCCCCCCCCCACCCCCCGCGGCCCGGGCCTCGCTCCCCCCCCCCGCCCCCCGCGGCCTGGACCTCCGCAACCCCCCCCCCCGCGGCCCGGGTCTCCGCACCCCCCCCCCCCGCTGCCCGGGCCTCCGAACCCCCCCCCCCCCGCGGCCCGGGCCTCGCTCCCCCTCCCCCCAGCGGCCCGGGCCTCGCTCCCCCTCCCCCCAGCGGCCCGGGCCTCGCTCCCCCCCCCGCCCCCCGCGGCCTGGGCCTCCGTTCCCCCCTCCCCGCGGCCTGGACCTCCGCAACCCCCCCCCCCCCGCGGCCCGGGCCTCCGCACCCCCCCTCGCGCCTCCCCCCCCGCCGCCCGGGCTTCGCACCCCCCCCCGCGCCTCCCCCCCCCGCGCCTCCGCACCCCCCCCCCCCCCGCGGCCCGATCTTCGCTCCCCCCCCGCGCCTCCGCCCCCCCTCCCGCGGCCCGATCTTCGCTCCCCCCCCCCCGCGCCTCCGCACCCCCCCCGCGGCCCGATCTTCGCTCCCCCCCCCGCAGCCTGATCTTCGCTCCCCACCCCCCGCGCCTCCGCACCCCCCCCCGCGGCCCGATCTTCGCTCCCCCCCCCGCGCCTCCGCACCCCCCCCGCGGCCCGATCTTCGCTCCCCCCCCCCCCGCGCCTCCGCCCCCCTCCCGCGGCCCGGGCCTCCGCACCCCGCGCCTCGCTCCTCACCGCTACCTAGGCCGTAGCCTCCGCTCCGGAGACCCCGCCACCGGCCCCGCGGAGGCGGAGGGCCGGGCGTGGGGCGCCGGGGCCCCGGCCGGGCCGGCGGACGCGAACACCCGGCGCCGGCCGCGGGAAAGTGACAGGCGGACTCCGCCCGGCGCCGCCTGACCCCGCGCGGCCAATCGCGTCTTCCGACCGCTGGGCGGGGCACGGCCGCTTCGGAGCTCGCGGATTGGCCGAGGCGCACACGGCAGCCAATCCGGACGCTCTCCGGTCTCGCGGCCCCGCCCTCTCCCCCGCGGAGCCCCGGCGGGTACGGCGGGCTCGGTCACCGGCGTCCTGCACTGGGGTCCAGCCGGGCGGGGGGGGGTGGGCCGGGATGGATGGGGCCGCGGCGCCGCGGAGGAGTGCGCGGGAGCGCGCCGGGAGCCAGCCGGGCGGCCGCCAGGAGAAGAGCCCGCCGGAGAGGTGCGCCTGGGCGGGCGGGAGGCCGGGGCGCCCTCCTCCGGGAAGCCCTCGGGGCGTTACGGGCCGAGCGCCCGGGAGGAGGCGGGAAAACCCCGCGGTCCGGGACCCCCGGTGCCCTCCCGCCCGGCACGCGGCCGAGGCTGCTCCCGGGCCTCGGGCGGGCCTCTGCGGGGCGACCCCCTGACTCGACGGCATCGCCGAGGAGTCCAGCTGCTCGCAGGGGCTGGTGCGGGGCGGGTGCGGGACCGCAGGGCGCCGAACCCCTTTGCAGGCCCGGCGGGGCGGGTGGCGGGGTGGGCTTGCGGACCCCGGACCGGGAGCACCGAGAGCACTGGGAGGAGCACTGAGAGCATGGGGGGGAGCATCGACAGCACTGGGAGCACTAGGAGGAGCACTGGGAGCACTAGAGCCCCGGGAGGAGGGGCGCCGGGCGAGGCAGCAGTCTGCGGTGCGCAGGCGTGGCCGCGGCGTCGCTGGAGACCGCACCCGGTGGCGGAGGCCCGCAGCGGGCCACGCGTCGGGCGCTGTGGCGTTTGCTCTGCCATCTCCCGGGCCCGCGGGGCCCGCCACCGGGACGGGTGCAGCAGCAGCGGAGCCGGCAGCCACCTCTGTGGGTCAGATGAGGAACCTGGCTGCGGAGGGAGGGTGGGAACGGAGGAGGGAACGATGCTAGGGGCGGGGAGCAGCTGGGGCCAGGCCTGAGCTCCAGACCCGCGTGGGGGGAGGCCACGGGGAGCGCAGAGGGCGAAGGGCAGACGCAAGAGTTCAACAGGCGCTGGCAATCAGTGGTGTGTTGCCAGCAGCTGCCCTCTGACCCCTCCCGAGGAGGGGACACTCCTCTGCCTTCACCGTCTGAGTTGGGTGACCTAGGCCCTCCGGCCTTTGCTCCTAATCCAGGCGGGAGAAAGGGGTGGCGGGAAGGGAAGAGGAGAGAGAGAAACGGCTGAGCCTCTGGGTGCGGGCCTGGGTGGGCTCTGGGGACTGGAGGTCTGGGGAGGGTTTCTGGGGAGTGGTGGCCACTGTCTCCTCTGGCCTGGTGTGGGCCTCTTGTGACGGTCCACATCCCAGCTGCCTCTCCTTGACAGGACGTCTCTCTCTTTCCCTCAGGAAGGTTTACATGGACTATAACGCCACCACCCCCCTGGAGCCCCAAGTCATGCAGGCTGTGACCGAGGCCATGCAAGAGGCCTGGGGAAACCCCAGCAGCCCATACCCCGCCGGTATGTCTACCAGAGGCCTCTGGTTCCCAGGGCAGCCGCAGGGCTGCCCTGACAACCCAAGTTCCCACCTGTCGTGTTGCATTGTTTTCTCTGAGAAGTTCCTGGGCAGCAGTCTTGTGGCCAGGATCTCTAAACTGTAATTAGAGCTAAATCTTTCACAAGCTGTCCCACTTCGCTTCCCCAGCTGAGAAAGGTCACTTATTAAGAGCTGTTTGTAGCCAAGGTCCTGTAGCTCATGCTTGTAATCCCAGCTACTCAGGAGTGCAAGCTGAGGTTCCCTCTTTGAAGCCAGCCCAGGTGGGAAAGTCCCTGAGCATCATCTCCAGTGAGCCACCAGAAAACTGGACAGCGACAGTGCCCAGGCTGAGTTAAGACCCATGGCCAAAAAACAAGAAGTTGTTTGTAAATCCAGGACTTCTTCAGGTCTTTACATATACTTGGAAGAGTTGATCTTCACAAATATGTCTTTATGTCAGGGTATCACTGACAGAATCCTGACCTATTAACAAGGAAGGAAGGAAGGAAAACTTGCTTTTAGATTTACTAGTTATGATTATCAATGTCCTTATTTCTTTTTGGTTTATCCTTATAATATAGAGCTTTAAATTGGAGATTTGGGAAAACAGATCCGTAGCTGTCTGTATTACATTGTGTTTGCCGGACAGCCTTGCAGGCTAGAGCCTTACCTTTGTTATTTGATGTTAATTAGGAATAATTAGATTACCCATCTTAACTGTGGTTTATGGTGAGCTAACCTACCCTTTCAAACAGAACATTGGCCAGCTCTATGGTTTCTGGGGGTACAGCCTGACAGGATCTCACGTTTTGGGGCTGGCCCGGATGGGTTCTGCCACAGCCAGGATTTTCCTATCACTAGCCAGAATTCCCTAGCAGCATCTCCCGACGGGGAGGGGGGGGGGAATTAGGGAGCTCATACGCTGTCTGTTGCTGGTGACTGGGGACACAGGATGATGGGAAGGAGCTGGGAAGGAGTTGGGCTGGCTGTCAGCCAGGCCCCAGCAGGGCTGGCCAGGAGGTAGAGGTGCTGGGGAGGTGGAGCTGCCGGGTGACCAGGAGGTGGAGCTGCAGGGGAGCCTGTAGCGCCCTCCTGGAGTTTCTGCACTCTAGACCTGAGCCATTTATTTATAGCTCAGCTTTTCATAGTTCTATTTCTGTGATGTTTCACAATATATTTTGGGGATGGTGCCTGCTCTTTTTTTAACGAATAAGATTGGACAGTTAAAGAATTTCGGGGACTACTGGTCTTTAAGAGTAGTCAGTGAAGTGTTCTTTTCTTTTCTTTTTTTTGGGTCCAGTCCTGGGGCCTGAACTCTGGGCCTGGGCGCTGCCCCTCAGCTCTTCAGCTCAAGGCTAGCGCTTTACCACTTGAGCCACAGCGCCACTTCCGGCTTTTTTTCTTTTTGCTTATGTGGTGCTGAGGAATCGAACCCAGGGCCTCAGGCATGCAAGGCAAGCGCTCTACCACTGAGCCACCTTCCCAGCCCTGAAGTGTTTTTTTCTGTGCCCAGGGGGCCTGGCTGTTGTTTCCCTCCCTGGCAGTGGCTGGGGCAGCACCCCCTCTTCCCCCCTCCCCTACAGGCATAGAACCTTCTTCTAGGCTGTCCTGAGAGCCGCCGCAGTGTGAGGTGAGCGCTGGCCCCGTGTGTGGACGCAGGACAGTGGTGATGCTGTGCCACTCTGCGCCTCCTGGCTTCCTGCCCCCAGCCGCGTCACAGGGGATTGGGGATAGGCTTCCGCTCACCCTGAGTTCCTGACTTAGCTAATGTCCTCCTGCTCCCCTCTGCCAAGGTGTGTGAGGGCGGGCTTTGTGTGCTCACGGGGCGGGACCAGGCACGCTGCCCTTCGCCCTGGCGTGGGGTGTATGCCTGGCCTGTGTTGCTGGTACCCTGAGAAGCCGTGCTAATAAGCCTCTTTGGTCTCTTAAGGAAGGAAAGCCAAGGACATCATAAATGGGGCGCGGGAGGCCCTGGCGAGAATGATCGGAGGCAAATCTCAGGACCTCATCTTCACCTCTGGGGGCACTGAGGTACAGTTCTCTTGGAATCTGGATTTTTTTTATTTCATTTATTTTTTTGTTGCTCATGGGGCTTGAACTCAGTACCTTCACCTCTTCAGCCCCAGGCGAGCGCTCTACCACTTGAGCCACAGCGCCACTTCTGGTTTTCTGGTGGTTAATTGGAGATAAGAGTCTCTCGGACTTTCCTGCCTGGGCTGGTTTTGAAGTGTGATCCTCATATCTCAGTCTCCTGATTAGCTAGGATGACAGGTGTGAGCCACCAGCGCCCAGCTGGATTTTTTTAAAGGAAAGAACATGTTTGGTTTTACTACATTGTAAATTATTACCTTGATATCATTAGCACTTCGCCTGTGAGAAGATTTTTGTAGCATAGGTGTACCACCCTGCATGAAGTAACCTGCTTTGCCCAGCTATGGTGGGAAAGAGAATTTCCACTTCCTACTCCTTGAATTGGGACTAAGGGGTCCTCCCACACCCGCCTGACATGCGCCCTGCAGCCTCTGCTCAGTAGCACTGGCCATCCACTTCCTTGGAAACATTCAGAGCCAAACCTGGGGCATCCATAGCTTGTTACAGCTTGTTACAACTTGTTACAGCTTGCCACAAGCTTGTTACAGCTTACCACAAGCTTGTTACAGCTTACTTGAGCTTGTTACAGTTTGTAAGAGTTTGTTGGAGCTTGCTACAGTTTGTTACAGCGTACAGGAAAGTTTGTTTTCTTAACTTTTTAGCGGCACTGGGTTTTGACAAGGATGTACCACTGCCTGCTGGTTGAGATGGTCCCATGAGCTTTCCTCTTTGGGCTCGCCTTGCATCTCCACCCCGGATCTCCACCTCCGAGGAGCTGGAATAATGAAACTGCCAGGAACCCAAGCCCCGAGGGCCTGGTTGCAGCAGAAGTTATAGGTAGAAAAAAAGCTTGGCAAGCCAGCATCAAGCAGGTTTTTGCTAGAATATCAAAGATGCCCAGTGCTTAGGAAATGAATCTAGTAAAGAAGAATATATAAGACCTCCCACAAGGACAGTTTGGAGCAGCCCTGAGCACCCTGGAGGCAGTACTGAGCTCTGGGCCAGCACCTCCCGCTCCGCACCGGAGGGCTGGGTTCTGTGAACATTTCATTCTGTCCAGACTCACCTGCCGGCTCAGCACAGCCTCGCCACTTCTTACGCTTTTAGATGGACTCAGGTGGAACTATATGGAAGCACAAAAGCCATAGGCAAGACTTGGGAAAGGGCAAGACCACGGGGAGAGGCCTGGCTGAGCAGAAACCAAATCCAACAGCTCCTGATGAAGGCGGGTGGCTCTCTGGCAGGGATACAGTGGAGCCAGCGTGGAGGGTGAGATCTGCCACCGATAAGGGTGACCACGAGTCCTGCTGTGCAGACCCGTGCCAGGAGCGCTGCCCCGAGCAAGGCAGTAGCGCCCTCTTGCTCTTGAATTCTGTGGTGGGTCTTGTGGCTGTTTTATACGATGGAGGGAAGGCAGCGGGACCAGAGGAAAGTCTGACCCGTTGAGCACAAGGGTCCAGACAAGACAAGAAGCGCAAAGGAAAGGTCATCAGACTTCTGCCCACTGAAGTCTCGGTACCATAAGGAGCAGAGAGTGGAAAGGAAAAGATGTAAATATGAAGCTTTTATCGATGTATAAATATATAAATAGAAGCCTGTTCACGTCATCGTGCGGTTGAAAGCGATGGGTTTGTTCATTCAGCACACTCAGAAGGTGAGCTTGAAGGAAAACATTCTCACGAGGCTGAGCCAGGCAGAGTGTGAATTTGAGGCCCGCGGGGTGGAGGGAGGCCGGGGGGAAGACATTGATTCTCTCATTGAGAAGTGAGCTTCGTTCCAGTCGTCAGGGAACTCGTTGGGTAGTGGACAGGAGTCCGGTACCCACGCTGATTGAGGGCACGGGCGGCTCACAGGCAAATAGTGCACCGTGTGCAGGCCGGGCACCGGGGCCTGCGCCTGTCATCCCAGCTACTCAGAAGGTGGAGAGCTGAGGATCGTGGTTTGAAACCAGTCCAGACAGGGAAGTCTGTAAGATTTCTTATCTCTAATTAACCAGCAAAAAGCTACAAGTAGAGGAAAGGCTCAAGTTGTGGAGCACCAGCCTTGGGTGAAAAATAAAAGCATAAGGCCCTAAGTTTGAACCCCAATACCAGCACAGAGGAAAGAATAATGAGCCTGAAACTTGACACACCCTGCCAGCAGCCGTCGGAGGTCGGAGGTGGTGAGGGCCTGGGCCGGGCACTTGGGGCATCGCCGGCACTGCCCTGTGGCTCCAGAGCTTGAGCTCTAGGCTGCTTCTCTCCTTCCGTGTTACCACAAAGGGAAGTGAGCGGGAGTGTGTCCCCTCTTCCTCCGGGACCCCCGTAAAGCCTCTCTGTGCTGTGTCTCTGCAGTCCAATAACTTAGTGATCCAGTCTGTGGTGAGACATTTCCACGAAAGCCAGGCCTCCAGGGGGGACCTGGCAGAGCAGCCCGGCCCCGCCGAGGGTGCCAAGCCCCACGTTGTCACGTGCACAGTGGAACACGACTCGATCCGGCTGCCCCTGGAGCACCTGGTGGAGAAACAAGTGGCCGGTAAGTGAACACAGACCTGGCCTGGACCAGAGCCTGGGACTAGAGGCCTGTGGGCAGGGCCGGGCCGGCCGTCGTGTGGCTGGACGGTGCTGAACTGTGTTCGGACCACATGTTGCCAGCGCACTCGTCATCCGATGGACTTCAGCTTGCTTCCATCTGGGCTGGTGAATACCGCTACTCAATACGTACTGTTATGAACACAATTGTGTACAAGTTTGTTCATGGACAGTGTTTCTCTTGGGCTTGTTCCTGGGAGTGGAATTGCTGCCCATGTGCTGACTGTGTCCGGCAAATTGTGAGGTGACTGTGATGGACCTCTGCCTTTGTTTCTGAATTAGCAGCGATGTTCTCCATTCCTGCCAGCGATTGAGGGCTCTGGTTTCTCAGGTCCGTGCCCCTTTTAGTAAAGTCGCCCCAGGGATCCTGAATGATATCTCCTTGGGGTTCATATTTGTGACTTGCCGATGGCTCATGGTACGGAACATCCTTCATGTGCTCATTACCCATTTGTTTCAATCTCTGTAGAAATGTCTGTTCAAATCCCTGCCCAGTTTTTGGATTTGTTCCATGGTGCTGAACCCCAGGCCTCCAGCTTGCTAGCTGGGCAAGCACTCAACCAGGACGATGCTCCCATCTCTTGCCCATATTTCACAGATTACTTACCTTTTGGTTGAGTTGTAAGGATGTATGTGAGTAGTTGACACGTGTTCCTCGGCAAGTCTGATGTGCACACATCGCTCCCATTTTGGGGACTCATTTCTTCTTTTTTGGTGGTATCCTTTGAAGAACAAAAGTTTTTGTTCTTGTTTTTGTCAGTTGTATGACTTGAACTCAGGGCCTGGGTACTGTCCCTGAGCTCTTTTTTTTTTTTTTTTTTTTTTTTGGTGTCCGGTCATGGAGCCTGAACTCTGGGCCTGGGCGCTGTCCCTCAGCTCTTCAGCTCAAGGCGAGTGCTCTACCACTTGAGCCACAGCACTACTTCCGGCTTTTTTCTTTTTGCTTATGTGGTGCTGAGAATCGAACCCAGGGCCTTATGCATGCAAGGCAAGCACTCTACCACTGAGCCAACTTCCCAGCCCCTCCCTGAGCTCTTTTGCTCACAGCTAGCACTCTTTGAGCCACAGAACCACTGCTGGTTTTCTGGTGGTTAATTGGAGATAAGAATCTCATGGACTTTCTTGCCTGGTCTGGCTTTGAACCATGATCCTCAGATCTCGGCCTCCTCAGTAGCTAGGATTACAGGCATGAGCCACCAGCACTTGGCCAAATGAAAATTTTTCGATGAAGTCTAGTTCATTTTTTTCTCCCTTATGTCTAAGAAGACTTTGCTCTACCCAAGGTCAAGAAGATTCATTTCTATATTTTTTCCTAAGCGTGTTTTCATTTCTAGCCCACAGTCAGGTCTCTAGAGTACTTTGTACCCTGGTTAATTCTGTGTATGGCATAAGGTGTGAGTCCATATTCTTTCCGTTGCATGTGGACATGTAGGGACTTCATCTCATTTGTTGAAAGGCTCGTTCCTGTTAGTATAGTGTCACATAACTGTAATCCCAGCACTTAGAGGACTGTAAGTTTGAGGCCAGCCCAGAGTACTTAGTGAGACCCCTGTCTGAAGGAGAGAGAGAAAGAGGGCAGGAAAAGAAAGGGAGAGGAGAGGAGAGAACATGGAAGGGGAAGAGGGAGAAGAGGGTGGGGGGAAAGGGAAAGAAAGATTATTTGATCATGAAATATACAATCAGGGCTGGGAAGGTGGCTCAGTGGTAGAGCGCTTGCCTTGCATACATGAGGCCCTGGGTTCGATTCCTCAGCACCACATAAGCAGAAAAAGCCAGAAGTAGGACTGTGGCTCAAGTGGTAGAGCGCTAGCCTTGAGCTGAAGAGCTGAGGGACAACGCCCAGACCCAGAGCTCAGGCCCCATGACTGGCAAAAAAAAAAAAAAAAAAAAAAAGAGTCTCATGAAATATACAATCATTTTCATGTTTCTAGGTTTGACCCACTGGTGTTTTGTTGAAGAGTTTTTAAAATCAGTATTTCTAAGAAGTGTATGTTGGCAATTTTCTTTCCTTGTTTGGTCTTTGCCTCGTGTCAGTTAAATCAGCCTCCTAGAATTAACAGGGAAATGTTCTCTTCTCTTCTAGCTTCCTGTGGGGAGACACAGCACTTCCTCTTGAAGTGTTTGGTAGACTTCACCAGTGACCGCGTCTGGGCTGGGCCTTTGCTTTTTGGGGTATTCTTAATTGCTGATTTGATCTCTGGCCTGTTACAAGTGTGTTCAGGTTCCCTGTGTCATCTCGGGTCCTTTTCCATTGTTTGTGTCCTGGGAATTTGCCTGTGTCATCTGTTGTGTCTCTGTCAGATCCGGGGATCGCAGTGTTGGACCGCGGTCCTCCCCTCTCCGAGGACGCCCCCCTCTCCCCACACGCGTGGAGTGGGTCACTGCTTCGTTCTTCCTTCTTACACGTGCTCAAGTTAGCTGAAGAGTTGTCCTTTTTTAATTTTTAAACTCTTTTAAAAGCCAATGTTTGATTTTTGTGTATTATTTCTCTCTTCTCTATGTTACTAATTTCCATTTAAATCTAATCATCTCATGATTAATTTGACCTTCTTTGTCCTATATCTTGTCTTTTCTTCTTTTCTTTCTTTCTTTCTTTATTTCGTTCTCTTGTTCTTTCATTCTTTCTCTTTGTTGTTGTTGTTGGCCGTGGGTCTTGAACTCTAGGCCTGGGTGCTCAGCTCTTCAGCTCAAGGCTAGCGCTCTACCACTTGAGCCACAGCACCACTTCTGGCTTTTTTTCTGCTTATGTGGTGCTGAGGAATCGAACCCAGGGCCTCATGTATGCAAGGCAAGCACTCTACCATTGAGCTATCTTCCCAGACCTGTCCTGTGTCTTAAGATGAAAGATTAGTTGATTTAAAAAAATCTTCTTTATTTATTTATTTACTTATTTATTTATTTTTGGTCAGTCATGGGGCTTGAACTCGGCTTGGGCGCTGTCCTTGAGCTCTTCAGCTCAAGGCGAGCGCTGTACCACTTGAGCCACAGTGCCGCTTCCAGTTTTCTAGTGGTTTATTGGAGATAAGAATCTCATGGACTTTCTTGCCCAGGATGGCTTTGAACTGTGATCCTCAGATCTCAGCCTCCTAAGTAGCTAGGATTACAGAGGTGAGCCACCGGCACCTGGCTAAATCTTCTTTACTTTTAAGGTAGGCACAAATTTCCAGAAATAATGTCCCTCTGAACATTGCTTTAGCTATATTTTGGTATAGTATTTAGTATTTCATTATATGTGATTCCTCTTGTGCTTTTTTATTTTTTTCTCTTTTGGTTTTTTTTTTTTTTTTGACACACTAGATACTTAAGAATGTGTTGACTGATTTCTATGTATTTTTAATTTCTAAGATTTCTTTCTGTTATTGATTTCTATTTGTATTCCAGAGTGATTGAAAAGTGTATTTTATGATTTTAATCCCATTAAAGGTTTTAGTTCCCACCCCTTTTTGAGGTATTGAAGTTTTTGAATTCAGTTCCTCCTGCCTGTTGGGCAGTTCTCTACGCTTGAGCCGCACTCAGCCCTTAACACCTATTTATTGGCCTGCCCATATCATCTGTGCTAGAAGATGTTGCATGTGCGCCTGTGCCGAATGCACTCCCTCCCACTGTTGATGGTGGAGTGTCTCTTAGCTGTCTGCCAAGTCTGGTTGTTCAGACCTTCTGTTTCCTTGCTAAAATTCTGCCTGAAGTTGTATCCATTATTGTGAAGATAGTGTTGAATTATCTAACTATATTGATGATGTATCTATTTTGTCGCTTAAAATTTGTCACTTTTATGTATTTTGAGATTCTATTTTCAGGTCCACGTATGTTTGTATTTGTCATATAGCTTAAATGAATTGACTCTATTATGATAAAACGTTTCTCTTAGCTGGGCTCTGGCGACTCCCTCCTGTAATCCTAGCTCCTCGGGAAGCTGAGACCTAGAGGATTGCTGTTGGAGGCCAGCATGGGCAGAAAAGCCCGAGAGCCTCTCGTCAGCAGTTTCCAGCATAAAGCAGTGGCATGACGCAGCTGGTAGAGTTAAGCTGTGAGAGAGGGAAAGCCGCGCGAGCCGGGGCGGCGCGCCGCCCTCAGACTGGCTGGAAAAAAAATTACCGAGTTAATGAAAGTTTCTATTCCCAGTACTTTTTTGTGTGTGTCTGTGCTAGTCCTGGGGCTTGAACTCAGGACCCAGGTGCTGTCCCTGAGCTCTTTTGCTCAAAGCTAGTGCTCCACCAGTTGAGCCACAGCTCCACTGGTGGCTTTTTGGTGATTAATTGGAAATAAGAGTCTTACAAGCTTTCCTGCCTGGGCTGGCTTTGAACCTCAGTTCTCATATCTCAGCTTTATGAGTAGTTAAGATTACAGGCATGAGCCACCAGTGCCTGACTTTCTAGTGACATTTTAAAAAGGTAAATCATTGTATTTCTTTTTAATGTAGTCTTGGCAGCTGACATTTAAATAAATATCTTCTTTCGGCCTTCTGCTTTCACTCTTTGTGTCTTTGAATCTGAAGTGTGGCAGCGGCTGAGAGACCTCCAGTGACGCTAGGGTTAATGCTGGTACAATGCCACCCAGCCTGGGTGCTGCCAGGAGCCAAGACCACCTCAGCATGGAGGCTACTCCCCTTAAAGAATTGGCCTTGTCAGAATTTCCTGTATACTCCCCCTGAATAACTAGAGTTACAGGCCAGGATTACAGGCAAGAGTCCCTGCACCCAATGCATTGGATCTTACTGTGTAGCTCAGGCTGGCTTCCAACTCTTGATCCTCCTAAGTGCTGGGATTGCAGGTTTGCAGTGTTATTTCTTTAATCCAATGCAATTTTGCTTTCATCCACCTTCTTTGTGCTTATTATTGCAAATATATTTTCATTCCTCTGTTTAGCATCAACAACATAATTAGGCACATCATGTTTTATACCATTTTTTTTTTTTTTGGTCTGTCTTGGGGCTTGAACTCTGGGCCTGGGCGCTGTCCCTCAGCTCTTCAGCTCAAGGCTAGCGTTCTACCATTTGAGCCACAGGACCACTTCCGGTTTTCTGGTGGAATTTTGGAGACAAGAGTCTTAGGGAGTTTCCTGCCCGGGCTGGTTTTGAACTGCGACCCTCAGATCTCAGCCTCCTGAATAGCTAGGATGACAGGTGTGAGCCACTGCCCCGCCATACAATAATTTTAAAGTCAGTATAAAAAAAAAAAGGTAAAGAAATACATAGCTAAGCTGTCTTCATAATTAAATGATTACTTTTTCTGGTTCTCTCTGTTTCCTGTTCACGGGGATTCAGATTGCAGTCTAGAGGGGCTTGCTGTCAGCATGAGGAGCTTTCTTTTGTCTTTTCTGTGCAGCAGACATCCAGTCATTTCCTCTCTCTGCTTCTGTGTGTCTTGGAATCTTTATTTATCTTCCCTTTTGGAAGATAGTTTTGCTGTGTATGAGATTCTTGGTGAGCTGATATTTTCTTTCAGCTCTTAAGTCCATGCTGCCTCCGAGCCCCTGTGGCTTCTGATAAGAATGCCACCCTGTGTAGAACTGGCATTTTCCTCTCATGCCTTTCAGCGTGCTTCCTGCAGCATGTCTAGGAAGGGATATCTGTGTTTTTTTTCCCCTCAGTCCTGGGGCTTGAACTCAGGGCCTGAGCACTGTCCCTGAGCTTCTTTTGCTCAAGGCTAGCACTCGACCACTTGAGCCACAGCGCCACTTCCAGCATTTTCTGTGTATGTGGTACTGAGGAGTCGAACCCGGGGCTTCAGGCATGCTAGGCAAGCGCTCTACCACTGAGCCACCTTCCCAGCCCTCTGTGTTCTCTTACCTGGAGTTTTCCGTGCTTTCCTTACACTACTCAGAAGTTCTGTCTGCTCCTTCCTTTCGTTCTCACCTTGTGGTACTCGCATCTTGCGCATTTGGTAGTGACCCCATTTACTTCTCTCACGTCTTGGACTGCATCATTTCTGTCAGGCCCTCCTCAGGCCTGCATGGGTCTTTTCTGCCAATGACTGGTGCCTCTCTAGCACCTTCTTCCTGTCAGTTATTACACTTTTCAACCCTGGAGTTTCCATTTGATTCTTTCTCAGCATTTTTCTATTTGATGATATCTCTATTTGATAAGACATCTTTCTTTACTGTTTTATTTCCTTTTTATTTTTTAAGGCAGGGTTTTGCTAGGTTGCCCAGGCTGGTGGCTTTGAATTTTACAGTCCTCCTACTTCAGCCTCCTTTATGCTGGCTTCCAGAATGCCCAGCACCCTGGCTGCTTGCTACTTTCAGCGTGGTTGCAAGCAGTTCCTTTTTGCTTTCCGGCTGCCTGTCTTTCCATGCTGTGCTGTTTCTTTGCCTATCTTGTCAGTTTTGCTGAAAACTGCATTTTAGGTCATCTATTAAAACATCTGTTTAAGACTTGCTGTGGAGTGGGTTACCAGGGACTCAAGCCTATAATGCTAGCTACTCAGGAGGCTGAGATATAAGGATTGTGGTTCAAAGCCAGCCTGGGCAAGAAAGTCCATGAGACTTATTTCCAATTAACCACCAAAAAGCCAGGAGTGAAGCTGTGGTTCCAGTGGTAGAGCACTAGTCTGGAGCAAAAGAGTTCAAAGACAGTGCCAAGGCCCCACATTCAAGCACCAGGACTGTCAAAAAAGAAAAAGCCAGATGCTGGTGGCTCATGCCTGTAATCCTGGCTACTCGGGCAGCTGAGATCTGAGGATCGCGATTCAAAGCCAGCCTGTGAGACTCTTATCTCTAAAACTAGAAGTGGTGCTGTGGCTCAAGTGGTAGAGCGCTGGCCTTGAGCTGAAGAGCTGAGGGACAGCACCCAGGCCCAGAGTTCAAGACCTATGACTGACAAAATAAAATAAAATAAGACTTGCTTGTCTTCCCGACACCTGCTGTTTTTGGTTCCCCGGCCTGGGAGGCGTTGGATTCCACATCGCAGTGTGCAGCTTTGACCTGTGCACTTTCACCCTGAGATGGCAGAGGTGGAAGCAGGGCTGGCATTGGCTGGCCCTGGTCCCAACAATGTCTGTGTGAGATGCCCGGCTGCCTGCTGCGATTGCCCCGGCTCCACTGAGTGTGGGCCTGTTGCTCTAGCTTTTGGTTTTTGTTTTAGTGTGTTTGGGTTGGGGTGTGTAGTGTTTGGCAGCAATGGGATTTGAACTCATGCTTGCTCGGCGGGCACTTCCCCTGGAGCAACTCTTCTACCCTTGCTTTGTTGGTTTTGGCAAAGCTCTCGGGCTAGCTTGTTCCGCAGTAGAATCCACTTACCAGCTGGGGCTCTTTGCAGTGTTTCAGGTGTTCACATTGTTCTGACTTGGGGTGGTGCCCGGGCTTCGCGTGGGTCACCGTGGGAGCCCAGCCTGCTTGCAGGTGGCACCAGGTTGCTGCTGTGTCGACAGCCACCTTGGGCTGCGTGGCTTTTGTTCCCTCTGAACTCCAACCGTGCATTGTTGGTGCAGCTGTGGGAATCGCCCGTGCGTTCTGTGAGATGCCTTCATGCGTGTGTCTTGTATCTCAGAGGTGACCTTCGTGCCGGTGTCCACCGTGAGCGGGCAGGCCGAGGCTGAGGACGTCCTCGCGGCGGTCCGCCCCACCACCTGCCTCGTGACCATCATGCTGGCCAACAACGAGACGGGCGTCATCATGGTACGTGGGCCCTTCTCAAACCCCAGGGGGCTTCACCAGCCTTCTCACGCCCAGCCACCAGCCGCCCGTCTCTCTTCTCCACTTCAGCCTGTTCCCGAAATAAGCCAGCGCATCAAAGCGCTCAACCAGAGACGGGTCGCGGGTGGGCTGCCTCGTGTTCTGGTGCATACGGATGCCGCACAGGCGTTGGGGAAGAGGCGCGTGGACGTGGAGGAACTGGGCGTGGACTTCCTCACCATTGTGGGCCACAAGGTACGTCTGCAGAGGCCGCCTTCCTCCTGCAGGTGGCGCCAGAAAGGACGCTGAGCACCGCGGGTCGGGTGCGTGCTCCCCCAGCACCAGGGCCGCAGGGCCAGGCCCTGGGCACGCCGGTGACCACCCGTGGGCGGTCTCCCGGGGAGCTCTGAGGTGAGGGACGGGGACAGCAGGACGCGCACCCCTTGCGGAGCAGCGGCGGGAGCCGGGCTCTGGGCAGACTGCCAGGCGGGTGGGGTTAGCAGGCAGCGGGTGTGGTCTGCCCACGTGGGGGCCGGAAGTCACTGTCATCTCTAACAATCAAAATGTGCTTCTCAGGGTAACTTGCGGCTTCGGCCGCTCTGACCTCTGGTGGGAGTGTGGGCAAGCCTTCACAGCAAAGACCCTCCACAGTGCTCTGTTTAGGTGGCCCTGGGCGTTGAACGCGTGGCTTTACACGTGTGCGTCCAGTGCCGTTTGCCTGAGCCGGGCCCTGGGCTTCTGGGGAGCGTCTGTGCTCCTGGGCTGGCCCCGGAAGGTTCTCCTTGTATCTGCTGGAGGCGTAGAGTCAAAGAAGAGCCGCCCGTGGCGGTGTCTTGTTCCCACTTGCACAAAGCCTCCTTTCACAAGTCCTCTTGCCTCATGTGGAGGCGCTCTGCCCACCACGGGGGACAGCCAGCACCCAGCACCCCTGCCCAGGCTGGGCTCTGTGACCCCAGCCGATCAGAAGCCATGCGGACACTCAGCAGAGGCCGCTGGAAGCGGGAGGACCGGGCCCCGCTGCACTTCTGAGTGTTTAGCACAACAGTAAGTAAGTAGGTCCTGGCTGTTGACAGTGGATACATGGCTGACTTTTCCTTCCAGTTCTACGGCCCCAGGATTGGTGCACTTTATGTTCGAGGGCTCGGTAAACTCACGCCCCTGTACCCCATGCTGTTTGGAGGTGGACAAGAGCGGAATTTCAGGCCAGGGTAAGGTAGAAAGTTAAGCGCGCCTCTGCTGTGCTGGCCGCGCGGCTGCCAGAGGGCGGTGACGGCTCCGTCTCTGCCCTGGGAAGCGCAGGCCGCACCAGTTCTTCATCAGGGTGGGACTCCCACAGCCACGACCCAAAGTGGCCGTCTCTTTGGGGTGATTCAGAGAACACAAAGGAAAGCACTCTTTTAACTGCTTCAAAACATTTGAATTTCTTGTTGTTTTGACCCAGCCACTACCTCGGTGCTGCTGGGCCCGCGTGGCTGAGTTGCTTCTGCCCTCACAGTGGGCATCAGCAGGCCACAGCGCCACCCAGCCTCCTTCCTGATACCCAGGACGCCGTTATGTGCAGCCATCCTTAACCAGGAAACTATGTGATGCCAGCACCTTCGTCCCAAAAGGGAGAAACAGGAACACAACACTGAATGGTGGTCCTGGGGTTTCCTTTTTTTTCTTTTCTTTTTTTTTTGGTTGTGGGGCTTGAACTCTGGGCCTGGGCACTGTCCCTCAGCTCTTCAGCTCAAGGCTGGTGCTCTACCACTTGAGCCACAGCGCCACTTCAGATGCCATGGAGACCTGAAGAAAGTTGTGTAAAACTTTTAAGATGCTCAAAGAAAACTCAGTGTAGAATCCCACTCTTGGGGGCTGGGAAGGTAGCTCAGTGGTAGAGCGCTTGCCTTGCATGCATGAGGCCCTGGGTTCGATTCCTCAGCACCACATAAGCAAAAAGAAAAAAGCCGGAAGTGGTGCTGTGTCTCAAGTGGTAGAGCGCTAGCCTTGAGCTGAAGAGCTGAGGGACAGCGCCCAGGCCCAGAATTCAGGCCCCACAACCAGACCCAAAAACAAACAAACAAACAGAAAAACAGAATCCCACTCTTGGTCATGTACCCTTTCTCCATGAAGAGAAAATGGAGACATTGTCAGATACAGAAAAACAAAGAGAAGTCACCAAATACAAGTCAGCCCTTCTTTTTTTTTTTTTTTGCCGGTCATGGGGTCTGAACTCTGGGCCTGGGCGCTGTCTCTCAGCTCTTCAGCTCAAGGCTAGCGCTCTACCACTTGAGCCACAGCACCACTTCCGGCTTTTTCTGTTTATGTGGTGCTGAGGAATCGAACCCAGGGCCTCATGCTTGCAAGGCATGCACTCTACCGCTGAGCTACCTTCCCAGCCCAGTCAGCCCTTCTTTTGAGTTATTGTTAGTTTTTTTTGTGGGTATTTTTGTTGTGGTATTGGTTGTGGGGCTTGAATTCTGGGCCTGGACACTATCCCTCAGCTCTTTAGCTCAGGTGAGTGCTCTACCACTTGAGCCATAGCACCACTTCTGGTTTTCTGGTGGTTTATTGGAGATAAGAGTTTCACAGATTTGCCTGCCTGGGCTGCCTTTGAACCGCAATCCTCAGATCTCAGCCTCCTGAGTAGCTAGGATTACAGATGTGAGCACCGGTGACTGGCTCCTTTTGAATTTTCTAAATTTTGCTTGATGGCAAAAGCAAAAATTATAATAATTTTGGGCGTGGTTGTAAATGTATTTGTGAAAATATTTAAGATCATTTTATGAGTAAAGCTTCAGAAAGATAAATATTCCTTCATTTGAAGCAGAGAATACAATTACATCAATAGAATATTGAAAGCTTTACTATTAGATCACAGAGCTGAATACGTTACAAAGAGATATACCTAAAATCTTCATATATGAGTCTAATTCTGAAAACTGTTCAGTATCCCTCAGAAAGACAATAAACAGAAACTAAAGGAGCAGAGGGAGGAGGACGGGGCATGCAGCTGACAGGTTCTGTGCGTGCCTAGCAGCACAAGACCAGCTTCCTATCAGCCAATCTATATCAGTTAATGAAATAAAACCGCAGGCCTAAGCCCTCCTTGTCAGTAATTATGTATGTTTACGTGGACTTCCTACCACTGGAGCCTTACCCAGTCCTGTGAACATTGAGATACACCAATTAGAAAAAATGTCCAAGAATAGAGGCAGACTAAAATTAAAGGCTGCAAACCAAGGCTTTATAAAAAGAAAAGCAGGCAAATGCTCATTGCAGTTGGAGACTTGACCACCCCTCTCTCAACAGTGCTTTGATCAGCTAGACAGAAAACCAAGGACCTGATCGCTTATCCAGCACTCCACCCAGCAACGCAAAATGACTTTCCGTATCTGCTAACATCATACACTGTGCCAGCATGCACAGTACTTGAAATTGATATAACTTTTTCTCTCCAATGGCAGTGGAATCAAACTCAAAAGAGATAATGGATAATAGGAAAATTTGTAAACAATTGGAAGCAAACATTTCTAAACTATAAGTTAAAGAGGATGTCTTGAAGAAAATTAAAATATATTGAACTAAAGAAAAATGGAAATACAACCTATCAAAACTATGGGATGCAGGCTGGGAATGTGGCTTAGTTGGTAGAGTGTTCATTTCACATGCATGAAGTCCTGGGTTCGGTTTCTTAGTACCACATATGCAGAAAAAGCCAGAAGTGGCCTTGTGGCTCAAGGGATAGAGTGCTAGCCTTGAGCAAATGAAGATCAGGGATAGTCCCCAGTCTCTGAGTTCAAGACCCAGAACTGGCAAAAAACAAAACAAAACGACAACAAAAATCATGGGATGCAGCTAAAGCAATGCTGAGAGGGAGATTTATAGCACTAAAATGAATATTTTAAAGAGGAAAAGGCTCAAGATAATAACCTAAGCTCTTACCTGGAAAACTAGAAACAAAATGAACCCACTGCAAACAAACAAAAGGAAATAAAAGAGCAGAAGTTAGTGAAATTAAAATCAGAAAGACAAGAAAACAAATCATTGGGGGAAAAAAAGTGCTGACTATTGAAAAAAAAAAAAAAAAAAAGCTTCTAGAATGCCTGACAAATAAAAGAAGAGAAAATACCATGTCAAGAGTGAAATAGTATCATCGCGGCCGACCCTGTCATCGTCAGAAAGATAATGAAGAAGTACTACAAACTACACATTTATTTGAAAATCTCTACTTGAAAGTTGACTTTGCAGCTTTAAAACTCCCCAAAAAGAGGGGCTGGGCGGGGAGAGGGACGGTCCGTCCTGGAGCCATGGCCCAGTTCGTCCGCAACCTCATGGAGAAGGCCCCGACGCTGGTGAACGCTGCTGTGACTTACTCCAAACCTCGATTGGCCACATTTTGGCACTACGCCAGGATTGAGCTGGTTCCTCCGACCCCTGCTGAGATCCCCACAGCTATTCAGAGCCTGAAAAAAATAATCCATAGTGCTCAGACTGGTAGCTTCAAACAGCTCACAGTTAAGGAAGCTATGCTGAATGGTTTGGTGGCCACTGAGGTGTGGATGTGGTTTTATATCGGAAAAACCATAGGCAAGTGTAGCATCGTTGGCTATGATGTTTGAAGACCAATCTTAACATCTGATTCTTTTTGATTTATTACTTGAGTGTTCTTGGACATACGTTCAGAGTGTTATCTGAATAAAATGAATCAAATATAAAAAAAAAGAGGGGCTGGGAAGGTGGCTCGGTGGTAGAGTGCTTGCCTTGTATGCATGAGGCCCTGGGTTCGATTCCTCAGCACCACATAAGAAGAGGGACAGCACCCAAGCTCAGAGTTCAGACCACACAACTGACCAAAAAAAAACTTCCCAAAAAGAAATCTCCAGAAGTTGAATGTGGTAACACATGCATGTGACCCAGCACTCAGGAGGTGAGGGTAAAGACCATGAGTTCAAGGTCTCCCGGGTCTAGGTAGCAAATTTCAGGTCAGTCTCAGCTACACATTGAGACCCTGTCTCAAAAAAACAAGCAAACACATTTCCAAGCCCAGATGGTTTCTCTAGGGAATTCTACGTCATGATTAAAAGAAATGCCATCTCTATTCATGGTCTCCCAGAAAGCAAGAAGAATACTTTCTAGTAATTTGTTTTTTGTTTTTTTTTGGTTGGTCGTGGGGCTTGAACTCTGGGCCTGGGCGCTGTCCCTCAGCTCTTCAGCTCAAGGCGAGCACTTTACCACCTGAGCCACAGCGCCACTTCCAGTTTTCAAGTGGGCCTGGGTGTAACAGGGTGCTGGTTTGGAATAGGGGACCAAAGAGGCACGCAGAAGGAGACAGGCTTTCTCCAGGTAAAGAAAGAATGCAGATAAGATTGTCACTGTCCACGCTGTGATGGTGTGCGGTCTGTGATAGGCTGTGTGGACTGTCCCTGGGTTGTGACTAATAGGAAGTCAATGGTGGTGGCAGGGGCTGCAGCTGCCACGGAGCACTGTGAAGTGTTTGTTTAGAGCTGTGACTTTGTACATAATACTGACGTCGGTGTGGATTCCTCCTGCATATCTGTTCCCTCTGCATGGTCCCTTGTCTCCTACAGGACAGAGAACACCCCCATGATCGCCGGCCTTGGGAAGGTAAGTCCGGCAGCTTCGGTCTGCCGTCAGTGCTAGCAGGGACCTGGGCTTGGGGGCGGAAGGCTGGGGGCAGAGAGGTCACATTCCAGGAGTGACCGACAAGGATAAGCAAAGGATTTCCCCGATGGACCTGAGAGCTATCTTTGGGGATCCGCTTAGATTTAAAGCAGAAAGGCTTCTTGTTTGCGTGCGTGTGCGTGTGCGTGTGCGTGTGTGTGTGTGTGTGTGTGTGTGTGTGCACGTGCGTGCATGCGCTCCAGCCGGCCCAAGGGCTTGAACTCAGGCACTGCCCTTGAGCTTTTGTGCCTAAGACTGGCTCTCTACTACGTGAGCCATGGCTCCACTTCCAGCTTTTTGGTGGTTACTTGGAGATCAGAGTCTCACGGACTTTCCTGCCTGGGCTGGCTTTGAACCTCAGCCCTCGTGTCTCAGCCTCTTGAGGAGCTGGGGTTACGAGTGTGAGCCACGGTGCCTGGCCTCCTTTCTGGTGATGCCGGGGCGGCCGCAGGTGTGCTTCCTCCCGCTGGCCATCATGGCTGCACTTCCGGTCCTAGTGGATCTGTGGGATGTGGGGCCGCTATGGCCTGTGCAGCCCCTTGGGCAGCTCTGCTTCCTGGGGAACCGGGCTTCTTGGGGGCTGCAGACATTAGGTTTGTGGCAGGAAAGCGGGGCACCAGCAGCACCAGGGCTTCTCAGGGCTGCTTCCCGGCTGCACGGGCCTCTGCCCCCACACGGCTTTTCCCTCAGGCTTTGACGTGTGTGCCACCGGCTCTGCGTTTGGCTCCTCAGCTCCACAAGGGCGGGCACTTGGCCCTCCCTGCCTCAGTATCCCGGGATGGAAGAAAGTAGGAATGAACACGTCTTGATCTAGAATATTCAAAACCATATTCTTCTGCAGTTCTGGGGATGGGACCCGAGGCCCCACGCCTGCGGGGGCAGCACGGTCCCGTGGGGCTCAGGCCCCGCCCCTGACCCCGCTGTAGCTCTGTGGCCAAGGCTGCGTCCCCAGAAACTAAGCCAGATGGTGAAGCAGACCTGCAGCCCACGGGCTTCATGCCTGGGGTGCTACCCCGGCTCCAGACCTCACTCACTGTGTCCCGGGGTCACACCCTCCAAGGGGTGTGCCACCTGCAAGACGAGAGTGTGGGGCAGCTCACACCTGTAACGTAACCCCTGGTCTTGCCCGCTCAGGCGTGGGCATTCCTTAGTATTCAGGCTCCCCTGGGGCTTGGGTGCTTGGTGCCATCGAGGAGGGGCTGCTAGTAAATCCCTGCCGCACACGGAAGGCAGCCTGGTCACTGCTGCCCGCAGAGGGTCGGTGGTGACCGGGCAGAGCCAGCGCGCTGCCTGGGCTGCCCTGGCCCCGGCTTTGCCTCCAGGCTCGGCTTCCGGCAGCGTTCTGTCCCCATGTCCCCAGGCTGCCGAGCTGGTGACGGAGCACTGCGAGGCGTACGAGGCCCACATGAGGCATGTCCGCGATTACCTGGAGGAGAGGCTGCTGGTGAGTGCAGGGCGCCCGGCCCGCGGCGGCCACGCGGGTTTGTCCTTGTGAATGAACTGGCGGTAGAGTGCGACGTGAGGGAAGGGAGGAGCCGGGTCAGCAGTCCTCACAAGGCCGGGACCGAGTAAGCCATCCTTCACGGGTGAGAGGAAGCCTGCCAGAGCCGAGACACTCAGGGGGTGTCTGCAGAGTCTGAGTTCAGGACAGGACTTGTCCCGTGTTGGCGCCCTCAGCGATGATCGGTAGATGCTTATTGAGAGGTAAATGTTTTCAGATTGAAATTGTTTCCCAGAGATGGATTGTTTGGCATTTAGTTGCTGGACCAGGTGGGGTGTCTCTGACGCTATCATGAACTATGTCATTTGGTTGTGGTTTTTTTTTTTTTCAGGCAGAATTTGGTAAGAGAATCCATTTGAACAGCCGCTTTCCAGGGACAGAGCGGCTGCCCAACACCTGCAACTTTTCCATCCGGGGACCCCAGCTTCAAGGTAACGGCCTGCCCTGACCCGAGCTCTGTGGTGTGTGCTTTGACTCATGGACTCGCGTCTGAGCCAGCAGCTGTCCAGAGGACAATGCTGCTCGTGTTGTGAGCCGGGCGTGTGCTGGCGTGAGCACAGCTGCACCCAGCCTGGGCGCAGGCCCGGCTCCCGGGGGCTGAGGTGCGGCTGGCCGAGGCTCCCGGAGGCTCTGGTTTTCCACAGCAGTCACTAACTGTTAGAAAGGGACAGAAAATCAGCCCGTTTAAATGAGCTGATCTGATTTTGTTCATTGTACACCCTTTCGAGAGGGGAAAGCAGAGGCAAGACCGTTTCACCAGCTGGCTAGGAATGAAGGCCGGCTGCACGTCCGCAGGTGTCATGGGCTCCTGGGACGCCCACCCCGGATGTGTGACCCATGATTCCTCGGGCGCGCAGCTGCATCGGCCCACCAGGTCTGTGCACATCCGCAAGTGGCTTTTGACAAAGACACCAGGCTGAGGCCTGTTCTCACCGGCCAGGAAGAGCAGGGCTTGCCCATCCCCTGGCCAGATGGCCTGCTGTGGAAAGTCATCTCCATCGGCCCTTCTGTGATCACCGGTGACCCGTGTTGGTTGAAACACAGCAGGTCTATGCCAGCAATCAGTGGCTTTTAGAAAGTTAGTCCCTGTGCGTGTGAGAGAGGAGGGCAGCGTCTGCATGAAGAGGGCCCCGGCCTGCGTGAAAGCAGGCTCAGATGCAAATACCATCGGGGCCGTACTCTGTTAAGTGAGACATTGGGTCCATTGCATAGAGATCCCACTGTCAAGGCTGCCGGGACTAAGAAGTGTCAGCTATTCAGCCGCGTTTTCCTGGGTGCTGAGCTCTGCCTAGCTGGAACTTCCTGGGTGGCTTGAGTAGGGGAAGCAGGGCTGGGGAGGAATGGGGGAGGAGTGGGGAGGAGCAGGTGGGGAGGGAGGAGGAGGGCAGCTCAGGGTGCATGCTGTCTTTGCAGGCTGCATGGTGCTTGCCCAGTGCCAGACGCTGCTGGCCAGTGTGGGGGCTTCATGCCACTCGGACCAAGGGGACCAGTGAGTACTCCGGGCACAGCTAGCTCTCAGTGGAGGTGGTGGGGCTGGGCATCAGGGGCCTGCGTATCAGGCCCACTGTGGGGTGGGTACCCGTGGCGGATGTTAACCCACGAAGGAGCGGACTCTGGGGAGAGCAAGGCTGGGATGGGCAGCCAGTGGCCGCGGAGGCCCAGAGCTGGCAGCGTTGTGAGCTGCCCAGGGCCCAGCTCCTGGAGGAGGGCCTGCAGGGCCAGGAGCCCCACACGCAGCCACCAGAGGGAGCTGGGGGTGGGAGGAGACAGTCCCCAGTGGAGTGCTGAGGGACCACTCACCATGACCCCACACGAGTGGACCCGTTTCTCAGAGGCGGAAACTGAGGCGTGTGGGTGAAGGGTCTGGGGCTTGGCTGTGTAAGTGCGCGGGGGTGGCGGCAGCACCTGGGAGGGACGAGGGGTCAGTGGCCCTGAGAGGAAGTGGGCTCAGGCCTCCGGAGGCTTCTGTGTCCTCCTGACACGGGAGGAACAGGAACGGGGGACACGCAGCCAGGCCCCCTGGGTTCACACCACCCTATCAGGAGGACTGGCCCAGAGGAGGGGCCCAAGGTGCACACGGGCCGCTGACGGCGCCCCCCCCCCCCCCCCGCAGGCCGTCCCCCGTGCTGATGAGCTGTGGCATCCCCTTCGACGTGGCCAGGAACGCGCTCCGGCTCAGCGTGGGCCGAGCCACCACCACGGCCGAGGTGGACCTGGTCGTGCAGGACCTGAAGCAGGCTGTGGCCCGCCTGGAGGGCCAGGCCTAGGGCCAGCAGCTGCCCTGGCTCTGGGGGCCACTCGCCAGAGGAAGCCCCTCAGGCCTCCAGGCCGCACCTGAGCCTCTGGGTGGCTGCCCTGGGCGGCTCACGTCTCTGGATCTTCGCTCTGCCCTGGGCGCTTGGCGCTGGGGCTGGGGCACCTGTGTGCTTTTTCTCCTCTGGACATTGGTCTGCCTGCCACATAGACCCTGTGCCCTCACAGGCCCAGGGCACCAGTGCCCACATAGGATTCTCTTCTTGTCAATCGCTGCCAGAAGCCACTGGATATGAATCACTGGGGCTCGTCCACAGCCCCTCCTGGGAGTGGGACCGGCCCGTCGGGACCCCTCTTCCTGGAAGGTGGTGGTTTACCTAGGAGACAAAATCCAGATCTTCATAATCCATTGCCATGAATTTGCTGCTGTTGTGAAATAGGAAACTCGCTTTTTGCGTGGCGCATGGGCTCTCAGGTAGAGTGCTCTCTCTGGGGCCCATCTCAACCCTTCTCCCGCCTGAGGACAGTGACGCCTCCAGCCTGCCTCCCGCGGTGGTGACTGCTGCCGCTCCTGCCATCGGATCTGCCATCCTCCAGACGGCGCTCCGCTCCTGCCACCCCTGCCTCCCCTGCCACCGGCCCACTCCTGCTGCCTTCCAGCCCTTCCCAGCGGCTCCTTCTGCTCATTTACTTGGGATGGGACTCGACCCTCACTGGTCTGGGCTGTGTGCATGCACAGCCCCTGGGTCATTCCTGAGGGGGAGTCAGATCCCCCTGACCTCACCCCACTTTCATCTTACTGCAAAAGGATAAGTGACTGGTAGTTACACAAAAACGACTGTCAGGGAATAACTTCTCACCATGCGCTTTTTAAGTAAGGTATAGGAAGTAAGTCCATGATGGCGCTGAGGAAAGCAATTGTCAGAAATTACATGAACTAATTAAAGATTTCCACACTTGCTTGGATGTCTTGGGTTTTCCCTCCAGGCTGGAGTGTGTGTGTGTGTGTGTGTGTGTGACACCTGAGCCTGCATGGGGGGTGGGGGGGGGGGCTGAGCCTAGGTGGCAGCTGCTGGTAACAATAGGCAGCAGAATAGACCCGTGCTGAGCCCTAGAGAGCAGGGCTCCACGGCGCCGCCCTGCAGCCTCTGGGAGAGGCTGTGGCCAGCTGGCCCTGACTTCCCCAGCCAAGAACCATGCGGGACCTGGGAGGGGGAGGGGAGGAGAGGGATGGGGGTGACGATGGGGGTGCAGATGATGCTTTGCATAGAAAAATGAACATCTCAACTAAGGCTAAAAACAAATTTTAAAGGACAGCGAAGAGAACAATCTGGAAAGAGATGCTGTGCTGGCTAGAGGGGCTACGCCTGACACCCTCAGGCTCACCTTGAAGGCCCCCTGTCCAGAAACCTGGACACACCCAGTGCCCGGTGTGCGGGCAGCCAAGAGCCAGATGGGACAGCAGGCCTCCCGGGGGTGATGTCCCCGGAAGCAAGAGGCCTCCTGTGGGTGATGCCAGCTGACATTTTGACCCTAACAGAAGAAGTTCTTCCAATCATACCATGGGTGGATCCATTCTTTTGTGAGAACAGAGGAGAAGACTTCCTGTGCCCCTTGGGGCTGCGCCTACACAGGGCCGGCCATGCGGGCTCAGGAGCCTGTGCTGTCTAGATCTACAGCCCTCCAGGTGGCAGAGACCCGGCCCAGGCCGAGAATGAGAACATGGTACGGCTTGCTCTCACCTGGCTGTACAGGTGACAGAGAGACGCTGCCGGGAAGAGGAGTTTCCAGTTGAAGACAGCCTGGGCCAGCCAGCCTCTCGTGAGCTGGCCGGTTCCGGCCTGCCGGCTCACAGCGGTCCTTTCCCAAGACTTACCCATTCCATACTCCACAGCCCAGGCACCTAGCCCCCCCAGGAGTGGCGTGGGTAGAGCTGATCCCCAGGACCTGTCCCCCACCCCCGCCCCCGCCGCCCCGTGACTGCCTCCCATCTGCCCTGCGCACTGTTATCGGGTAACCAGAGATGGCTGCCGCGTCCACGCCTGAAACAGGAAGCCCTGTCAGCCTCTGCACAGCCTCCACCAGGAGCCAGTGCCAGAGGATGGAGGAGCAGCAGGCACTGGTGGCCTCCAGGGATGGGGACGTGGCCACCTTGGAGCGGCTGCTGGAGGCCGGTGCCCTGGGCCCGGGCATCACTGATGCCCTGGGGGCTGGCCTGGTGCACCATGCCACCCGAGCCGGCCACCTGGACTGTGTCAAGTTCCTGGTGGAGCGAGCCAAGCTGCCCAGCAACCAGCAGGCCCACAACGGGGCCACACCGGTGCACGACGCTGCCGCCACAGGCAACCTGGCTGAGCTGCGCTGGCTGGTCCGAGGCGGGGGCTGCGGGCTGCAGGTGAGCAGGAACGGGGCAGCCAGGGCGGAACAAGGGAGGGCAGGCCCACGTCTGGCCCCAGCCTCGTGGCTCCAGGCTGTGTTTTCCTCAGGTACCTCTGCCTCCTGCGCTTCCCTATACCCAAACAGCACCAAGGCCTGTGGATTCCAAGCTGTGTTGACCCCATTTGGTTTGCATGCCCAGCAGGCTGAGGCCGGGGAACCTTTTTGGCTCCTCCACTTCCCTCCCTCAGCCTGAACTTGCCAGCCTTCCCGGTGCAGTCTCCCCAGTGTCTCTGGTCAGAGGTGGTCAATGGGGCCTCTTTCCCAAAGGGCCCAGCAATGCAGAGGTGCAGAGGGACTCCGCTCAGGAGCTCGGGTCCCGATGGCACAGGTGGGCTGTGGGGCAGGTGAGGGTCAGTGCCCGTCCTGTCTGGTGTGCCCAGCTCCTCCGTGCACACATCCTGCAAGAGAAAGCCCCTGGGTGACATGGTCCAAAAAGAAGTGCGCTCTTAGCTGACTTAGGCAACTGTGACCTCTGTGCGTCGCCTGTGTGATGGGAGGAGGGCGGGGGAGGCCCTGGGCCGCTGCGCCGGCCTCGCTCGCGGAGCACAGGGCAGGCACGGGGGCCGGGGCCCCACAGGCCGTCACAGCACCTGCGCCTGGGCCTCCATCAGCGCCCACCTGTCCACGCACAGCGCCCTCAGGCAGCGCTCCCCAGGCGGGAGCTGTCACCTACAGACATGTGCCCCCTGGCCTTTCCCGCTGAGGGCCGAGCAGGAGGCCAGCGGCTTGGCTGAGTGGGAGGGGAACTGGGCCTTGGGGCGGGGGGGGGGGTGCAGCAAGTGGATGCCTGGCCCACCTCTTCTCTGGCATGGTGCCCCGGCCCCCTATGGAGAGCAGCCTCAGGCAGCTGGCTCTGGCCACGCGGGCCCGGTCCCGCCGGGCTGGCCAGCCTGCCACCAGCTCCCCGCCCTGCTGCTCTGTGCAGGACCAAGACGCGTCTGGCGTGTCGCCGCTGCACCTGGCTGCGCGCTTCGGACACCCCGCGGTGGTGGAGTGGCTGCTGCGGGAGGGCCACGCGGCCACGCTGGAGACGCAGGAGGGGGCGCTGCCGCTGCACCACGCCGCCGTCAGCGGCGACCTGACCTGTCTGAAGCTGCTGACCGTGGCCCACAGCAGGTGAGAGCGTGGCCCTCTCCTCAGGGCCCTGGACCCGGGGAAGGTGGCGCTGAGAAGGGCCAGGGAGCCCAGGTGCGTGGCTGCAGGTGGCCCAGTGAGTCTGAAGCCAGAGGGTGACAAGCAGGAGGGGTGAGGGGAGGCAGGTGGAGGGGAGGGGAGGCAGGAGGGGTGAGGGGAGGCGGGTGGGGTGAGGGGAGGCAGGAGGGATGAGGGGAGGCAGGAGGGGTGAGGGGAGGCAGGTGGAGGTGAGGGGGCGGGTGGGGTGAGGGGAGGTGGGTGGGGGTGAGGGGAGGCGGGTGAGGGGAGGCAGGTGGAGGTGAGGCAGGTGGAGGTGAGGGGAGGCGGGTGGGGGTGAGGGGAGGCAGGTGGGGTGAGGGGGGGGCGGGGGAGGTGAGGAGGCAGGTGGAGGGGAGGTGGGTGGAGGTGAGGGGAGGCGGGTGGGGGTGAGGGGAGGCGGGTGGGGTGAGGGGGGGCGGGTGGGGTGAGGGGAGGCGGGAGGGGTGAGGGGAGGCAGGGGAGGTGAGGAGGCGGGTGGAGGGGAGGCGGGTGGGGGTGAGGGGAGGTGGGTGGAGGTGAGGGGAGGCAGGTAGGGGTGAGGGGAGGCGGGTGGAGGGGAGGCGGGGCCGGTTGGGTGAGGGGAGGCAGTTTTCCCTGCTGCCTGCTACCCAGGCTCCCTGGCCCTTCCCAGAGTGAGCGGTGTTCACCCTCTCCGGGTAGAGCCCGTGGCAGGGGGATCGGGAGGGGTGGTGGGCCTCTCCTGAGCCCTGCCACGCCTTCGCAGGCCCTCCGGAGTGGGGCCCAACTCCAGGCCCAGAGGTGGGGGGTGAGGGCCAAGCAGGGGTTCAGTGAGCCCCTGGGCACAAGGACAACCCAGCCGCTCACTCTGGGTTCCTACCCTCCGGACGCCTGGGCGAGCAGGACACAGCGGGCTGGGGCTCCGCGTCCCCCGGCAGCTCGGGGCACCTGGAAAGCAGCGGAGGGACTCCGAGACCCTGGGGACCCTGGCAAGGGTCAGCTCTGTGTCCCCACGGGGGCCAGATTATGACCCTCCAATAATCTATGTGGGGTACCTGAGCCCAGGCAAAGGAAAGGAGCCCCCCCCGTGCGGGCTCCAAAGCCCTGGACAGCAGCTGGAAGGAGTTGGGAAACAGTGTGTAATGCTCAGAGGTCAGGCGTGAAGTCCAGATGAGCCATCCTCGGGTGGGAGGCTGCCCTCCCCGCAGCTGGTCATGGGGGCCAGCGGCAGCCAGAGGACAGCGCGGCGGCTTGCCAGCCCAGCCCCGCTGGCATGGATGTGGGCACCAGCCCGCTGACGCTCTCCCCCTGCAGCGGCGTGAACCAGCGGACCCGCACTGGGGCCTCCCCACTCTACTTGGCCTGCCAGGAGGGCCACCTGCACCTGGCACAGTTCCTGGTGAAGGACTGCGGTGCCGACGTGCGTCTGCGCGCCCTGGACGGCATGAGCGCGCTGCACGCTGCCGCGGCCCGCGGCCACTACTCACTGGTGGTCTGGCTGGTAAGGACTCCCGGGAGGGGGGGGGGGGCATGCACTGGGGGTCAAAGCTCTGTGGACAGCGGGCCTGGGTGCCGCCAGGTGCTGGGTCACTCAGAACAGCTGCGCTAGACCCTGACCACAGAGCCCACAGCAGTGAGGCCCCCTGGTCTTTCCCAAGAGTCTGGTGGACACTCTCAGGCTTTGCGACCCCAGGTGCTCTGTGACCAGTGCCCCGTGGCCCGAGCCCGGCCCTGGCCACTCCAGACATGTCCTCAGAGTCCTGGACAAGTCAATCCACCTCTTCTGCAGAGGAAGCCATGAGAACTGAGAGGCCAGAGCCAGGGGGTACTTCCCCCTCCACAACGGAAGATGGGCTTGGGGTGGGGCTCACCGGGGTCCCGAGGGTCCACTGGTGATGAGCGATGGGGTGTGAGGGGGGGAGAGGGGAGAGCTCAGGATGGTCAGGAGGCGGCTGCACAAAGCAGGGCCCCAAGGCCCCAAGGCCGCACATGGCAGTTATGTGGGTTGAGATTTGGGTCCGTGGTATCTCCAGCTAAAAGCAACTGGGCTCGTGCTAGCTGTCCTTGTCACAGGACGCAGGGGACCGAACCGCGGTGGGCCTCGGCTCCCCAGGGATGGGGCCACTTCCCTGAAGACGATCCCACTGTGCTCAGAGTCCCCGGGCTTCTCCCTGGGCGAGGCGGCCTGTGCAGACCGGCTGTCCGCTCCCCCTTTCCAGGCCACGTTCACTGACATCAGCCTCACTGCTCGGGATAACGAGGGGGCCACGGCTCTGCACTTCGCCGCCCGGGGTGGCCACACCCCCATTCTGGACCGGCTGCTGCTGCTGGGTGCCCCCATCATGAGAGACTCGTGGGGTGGGACCCCCCTCCACGACGCAGCAGAGAA